TGGTGGGGGTAATTATTGCCAATGTGGGTAGCGGTGAGCTGCTAACAGGCACACAGTAGGTGCTGCTTACCGGGCCCACTCTCCAGCCTGAATGTGTCCTGTGCAGCCTTCTGGTTGCGCTTATCTCCCCGCGTGCAGGACCTAACCCCGCTTATTTGCGATAATCCGCAGATTGTAGGCAGCAAACAGACATTTGTTTTACGACAGATGCCAGAGTCAGATAAACATTTAATTAGCAGCTCATCAGCTGTGTCAGAGCTAATTACTCCCCGTCTAGAGCCGGAGCCAAACCCGGCTCCTTTTTGCAGTTGGGTCTGCTGGCTGCTGCAGGATGGTGGGGTGGGGTGGGGGGGGTGCGAGGTGCTCGTGCACGGTTACGGGTGGATTGTGGGTTTCCCAGCCGTTGTGTCTCCGCTCGCCGATGTGGGTCAGAAAAGTGGCTTATGCAGAATTACAAGCTAAAACGCCATTGTGCTGTTTATCAGTGCTCCGCACGCCGGTTGTAAAAAAAAAAAGAAAAAAATGAATGCAAGCAGCACTTTTGGGCGTCTCAACAGCAAAAACTCACACAGAAGGAGGGTGATGGGAATTTTTTGCATGGGTAGTAAACACACTACCGTTCAAGCGAATATTTCTGGAAGGTGTGATGCAAATAAAATGGACAGAAGTGACCATTTAACACTAAAGACGTCCATCAAAATGGATCACCGGTTGTTAGACATTTTTAATGTCTCGGAACATGTGAAAGAAATAATAAAGACATCACAAGTAGGAGAACAAAACTGCATTCAAAGCGCTGCCATGGTTATTATTCCTGCTGAGTTCTGAGATCACCTCATCATATTTCCCCAGATCTCACTAAAAAGGCTGAAAGATTAAACATAACTCACACCATGGCACCTCGTCTTCACACACACCAGCCGCTCTGGACTGACCTGTAACCTAGCAACCGCCGGACATCTCACACAAGCAGATGATTAAAGGCATGTTCTGTTTTCCATTCCTGACATGAACACTTCTCACCGATCCTCCCCGCCCTGGTCTTTGACTTCAGTATTCTCCTCTCGACATGTTATCATCAGATATGACAAAAAGGAATCGGCCCACTCTTTCTAGGCTTCTGAGAAGCAGAAGTCCTTATCGGCCCTACCCTGTGAACACCATCAATAATGGCTCTCAGAAGCTCTAACGCATCTCAACAGGGCAGCAGCGGATTTGCTGGAGCATGTGGAAGACTGTCTGGTCCAGAATCTGAGCTATCACGGCTCCATAATCCTCTGAGACACCATTAAAGGTCATAGAAGACTGGACAGTCCACTGAGTTTAGGGAGAAATGCTATTAAAGAGTCTTAAATGTTTTTAAGTAGAATTAAGTAAACCTAATTTTCTGTAACCCCTAACTTGGTTGCTTGTCCACAAACCGAGATTGTTATAGTGTCACATTAAAGAAGCGGAAATTAAAACATTTCTATTTGCCTGTTTTGTATTGAAACAATGTTTTTTTTTAACCCTATAATGCCAAATGTATCATATTTGATACATGCGGTTTCTGAAGTCTTTTGGATCTGAGACTTTCTGCATCATTCAGTGGTAAAAGCTTTGCTCAAACCCCTGTTGTACACATTCAGATATACCTGATAACAGCCAGTAGAAGACTACACCAAAATATATTTTTGACTTATTGCACGCTAATTTGATCAAAATAATTTCTGTTTTTTTTCTTCATATGTTGTTGAGGGGCCAAAGAAAGACTTCAGACTAAAAAAATCCAATATTGTTCCTATTTTTCTTGGATCCGGCTTTAAAGGGTTAAATCCAAAACTCTATACATATTTTTTTTTTTTCAAATCGAACCATTGACATTTACTTCTAATTAACGGTTGAGTAGAAAAGTGAAACTTGACATAAACGGATCAGATAGTGCTTGAATTTGGCTGTCTTTCTGTCCCTGGTGTAATGTTACAAACCTCTTACATCTTAAAGAAATACAAAGAGATGTTGCACGTGTATTATTTTCAGGACCTTCAAATTGTGATCATTCCTCCTGACAGTATTAAAAAGCTGCATTTATCATGCGTACAAGCTAAAACCAGGGTATGATTGAAAAGTTCTGCAGGATTCTCACAGAACCGGATAGAAAAAAACAAGAATAACCCTATAGAACGTTGTATGCTTCTCTTTCGGATGCCTGTTTTTGCAGTTCTCGGCGCTTACAGCTAATTGAAGAGGAAATGAGAGCAAGAGAAACTCAATTAATTTTCTGAGGAAGCTGATATGAGACCCAATCACAGACCAGGCAAAACGAAAAAGAGAATAAGGGAAATGAAGTCTTGAATTGAAGCTCTAAGTGAACAAAGTTGTTACGTGCTGTTGGTGAATTCACAGTGTGAAGTACACTCATCTGGTCTTTCTGGACAAAATACAGTCAGCTAAAAGATTTTCAGTGGAGAAATTGTCATTTTTTTCATTTCTCCTGGGGAAAAAAAACTGGTAGTTTTACAAACATTTACAAGGGATAGCTGGAATAAAATACATGGCTGGGACTGCCACAATAAATCTTCCTCCCCGTGTCGGTGTTTTCTCCCTCAGCATCGGTCCTTTGAAGGACAATTTCCCAACGCCAGTGACCAAATATGCCATATTATCTGCAGTGTCTCTGTTATCTAACATCAAAGCAGCCTGTTTTGATTAGAACAAGATGTGTCTGAGCTTTAGCCAAATGATTTCCGTCATTGAGGCTGTCGTGTGCATATTCTCATTTCCAAGAGCAGAGCGCTCAACCCAATTTCTTATGACTTTGAGATGTAATTTCATACACTCGGTATTTCTTTTGATCATTCGTGTTTGGTTGTGTTTGACACATTTTTCTTTGATGCAAAAAACTAAGAATGAAGATTTATTTCTGCTGTCTTTAAGTTTAAGAATGCATCTAATAGATGTAATAGTGTTGTTTTGCTCCACAAACAGCAATACATAATGGCAGTGAATCAGATCGCCATTACAGCCCAGACAGAAATCTCCAGAGGAACACTCAGGTTACTTTGAAATATCCTATCAATATCAATGGGGCGCACATGTATCTTTCTTACCGCTATCCCCATCATAAAAAGCAATAAAATGCATCCCACACTCATGTCACCTTCAGAATGAACTGAGATAATGGTGAGAGGCTGACATTTTTATTCTACATAATCTGGATGGGTTATTAAACTGTCACAAATTTGATTTAACAAATCTTAGTCGGTGAAACTAATTGGTTCGCGTTAAAATTATGCTATGATAACTCCATAGTACTAATATAAACCACAATTAGCATACAAATAGGATAAACCAAGATGATAAACAAGACACTGCCAGGGCTGGTCTTACAAGCAGGTTTGCCCAAGTTAAAAGAAGCAAACCAGAGTAAAAGAGAGAAGAATAAATTCATAGCTGACCAAAAAATAAATATATAATAATATATATATAATTTCCATGTTTTATTTTTTGACAGGGGTGTGAGAGGTGTTCTATTATGATCATTATTATTATTATTATTATTATTATTATTAATAATAATCATATTATTATTTCAAAACAAAATAGTATACAAAATGTTGCTCCTGTAGCTATTTATTTCTAGCTGACAAATACAATGCTCAAAATTGGTAATCACTAACAGATAAACTGTTACTTAACCAAACTATACTTTCACTTTAAAGAAAAATATCGAAAATAGGAAGTTGGACAGAAATAGCAACAGCAACTAAGTAACTAAGTGAGACTGGGCTTGACTGAGAGCTTGACTGAGAGCCGGATGGATGACCTGGAAATTCCTCAGAGTCTTACAGAATGAGCATCAGCCATGGCCATTGCTTAATATTTCATCCTATGAATTACTATTAATAGAGGAGTTGGGGAACCTGGGGAAAGAAATGCTCAGAACATAAGGGAATGCATTTCATTTCCTGTAGCATGCACAACTTTTTAGTACAAGAAGTTGAATAACATACTTGTAAGAATCACGCTTTCTCCTTTGGAGAGGTTTTTATTCTCAATTGTGTAGGCGGAAAGGAGAAAAAAGTGGAATGGAGGAGAAAGCTAGGGAAAAATGGTCTAAAAAGTTGGACGAGAAGAGCCAGGAACAAGTGCCTGGAAACAAGAGATAGGGAAAATGACTATATGTATGTATGTATATTGGCACTAAAATGGGATATAGTGAAAACCCATAAATACAATCTGGAAATGTGAGATAAAGAATCTTTATTGTCAAAGTTTTTTAAGAAAAACTATTGCATGTAAAAAAGAGTAAAAAAGACGCACAAACGTAACAGTGTGTGATGAGAGAAAATATAATATGTGACTTGATTATATTATGAACCATAATGAGAAATCAGTGGTAATGCTTTAATAATGCCGTTTAATCTCATAGTGCTCTCAAACAGTGACTCACGGATACATAAAGTACAAACTGAATGTAGCCACAAAGAGTCAATTAGGATGTTTGATCAATTTAACACAGAATTCTCAAGCAAAGATTTATCAGGCATGTTTTAACAGTCTGCAACTACTGAGGCATAAAAAGCTGCATTTAAACGCTCCCCATGCAGAAAATTACATACCACAAAGGACTGTTAGGAGATCTTATGCAGGGACTCTCTGGGGAACATTACAGCTTTTTATTCAGTGTTGTTCTCGGCACTTTGAATCCGACTGTTGAGGTTTGATAAGTCACCATTGGAGAAAGGTTTTTGACAGCGAAAGTCTGTTTGGCAACCAAGAATCATGGCTTTTAATGGTTGTAAAGACATGAAAGAACTCTAAAGAATTCCTGTAAAGGTGCTAAGATTCATTAGCATGATGAGATGTCCGGAGAGTAAAATGGGAAACAAAGCTAAGTGTTTGCTCACCAAATCTTTTGCACTTATGACATTCAAAAACCCGGAAGATTTCAATCTTTCCTGATTAATTAAAAAGAAATCTTTTAATCTTTTATTTTTCAAAAAGTCATCTTAGGCTGATTTACTTAGAAATTAGTAATATGGTCTTTTAATTGCAGTATCAATGACCTTTTTCTTCAGTCATTATCAGATTTTTGTCTAGACAGATACTGGGCTCAGGGATGGTCAAAGTCTTGCTGGCTGACAGACATATGCTACAAAGAACGTCTGTGATAACAGAACTGTCATCCCAGAAGTCAAGAAGAATCATTAAGTAGAATAATTTAGTCATCAAACAAATGTATTCGCATCGGTTCCAGACACTGCAATCATCAGTTAACAATCATGAGCTACTTAAAATGATAGAATAAAATGGGTGTCGCCCAAAGTTGAAAATAGTTTTTTTTCCCCAAAGGACTGTTATGATGCTAATTTGTTTTTTGAAGGACATATTATTTTATTGGTGTAATTTCAAGGATGCTTTAATATATCCGTTGTGCTCCCAAAACACCCACAATTCACTATAAAACTATATGCACTGAAATATATGTAAGATTGCATTTAGAGTGGTTTTCTCGTGAAGTTGGTCAGCTTCAAAAAGTTTTCAAAAGTTCACATTTAAAGCTTCCATGAAGAGACAGCTTAAGTTCTTAAATCAATTAACAAAACAAATCTAAACCGTGCTAAAACTCTTTTTGGGCCAAAAAAGGACTGTGGCTGTTCACCCTGTGAGTACCAGTGGACATACCATGCTAGACCTGCAGGAGCAGCGCCACCCCGGCTAAGGTCCACTTGGAGGGGCTGTCTTTGGTCTTCAGATTAAAGGTCCACACGTACGTGGGTCCCCGCTGGGGAGTTTTGTAGACAGGACACTGGTAGACGTTTCTGTTCTCCTGCTTGTCCACGGGGATGGCCCTAATGAAGATGACCGGCATGGCTGGGGTGAGCTCTTTCAGGCGGGCGTCTACGAGCAAACCGGTCTGAAACGGAAAAGAAAAAACAGAGCCGGGAGGTGGGAGAACCCACTAGCAAGTCAACCACGGGGGGGAAAAAGTACACAACTATACACAACTAAAGGCAGTTACAGATTACCTTGGGCTGCCTTTGCTTTCAGGCAGTGTAAAGAGTTTATCTTGTGCTGCAGAAACTACGGAGGCTTAATGTAGCCATATTATTTTAGGACTAAAAGAATAAATGTTTGACTGATGGTGCTTGGACCAAGTGGCGTTTGGCTCTGTTTGCTGAACACATAACTGTGGCACCTTTGAAAAGTGCTGAAAGTCGCTGGTGTTTGAGTCAAAGTCAAGATCTCCTTAAAATAAACACGCTGAAACGGAGCGGTCTGTCTCATTAATTAATCCTCCTACACTTAAAGCCTGACAAACACAAGTTTCCCCATGAATGTGCGCTGACTTTCAGGAGGGAATATAAATCCCGATGACTTTGGAGAGCTCAGAGGACGAAGCCCTAATTGCCTCTCCCAACTGTTCCCGAACTTTAAAGAGGTGCTAAATACTGTATCGCCTACTTCATGTCTGTTTGAATAAATACAAATGATGAGTATCTAAACATGAGCCAAATGGGCTCTTTGAGATCCCTTATAAATTTGTTTAATTGTCCACAAAAACCGGTACTGTGGTACCTTTGGTAAAATGTACTTTTCTTATTCACTTTTACAAAATACATACGAGAATAAAACTGTTCAGACTGATGTGTGAAAAACCAACAACTGGTGTTCGTGACATGAATTTCTATCTTTCCGTTGTGTGCCGTTTGCATCCTCCGTTATATCCATTCTCTGTGTAAGGTGCGGCATACAGCTGTCTTTGATGTCTTCACCCTCTGTGAATAAAATGCGAGGCCTCATTAATATAGATGAGTAAAGTTATCATAAATCTTTGACTTTTATTGCGGCACGGCGTCGGGTCCAGATGGAGCAGCGCTAGCTCTCTGGTTCACACTCGGCTTCTCCCTGCCAGTGGCACAGGACTGGCCTTGGGGCTGAGAGGGGGAATGCGGAGCGAAGAGGAGCCGGGTGGAGGAGTGGAAACTGCCGGGCCCGTCTGTCTGCCTCTCTATTTGCCCGCGTTTCCAACTTTAATGAAGAAGAAAGGAACCACTCCTCTAAAGGGTGATCTAAGTGTTCGAGTGCACACTCTGCACATTCCCTAATTAAGAAGTCTACGGGGATGCTCCTTGAGAGCTTGGCACATCTATGCTGGTTGAGTATATGTAGATAGAAGGAGTCCTGGGAATCTTAGTCATGTTCTGCACTCGAAGGGGCGAACACAAGCAGGATGTAAATCAGGAAATTAAGGTGCAAAGGCAATGTGGAGGTGCTCAAGGGGGGAAATACTGAAGTTAGTTTTCCTGACTCGGTTTTAAGGTGCATTTGGAGGTAGGTTCGTTTGTCTCTCGTCTAAATTACAGGAATTTAAAGCCACGAGGCGTTTGCAAAACTAGGAAGGCATTTTTCTAAATAAACATTTAGTGACTGTGAATCCATTAACTCATTGGCTGCCAAAGACGTCTATAGACGTCAATTCAAATACAACCATTGACTGCCAAATACGTCTATAGACGTCTTTTATGTTTTTCAACGCGAGTGGCTTGGGGGACGATCTGCTAAAGCTTGTCCGTAAATATCGGCTTCTAGACAGGTTATGTACTAACAAATTGACCCTCTAGGTGGCAGTGCCACTTTTGATGGGAGATTAGCATAGACTGTAGGCAAATAAGAAAAAGGTAACGCTTCGCTATGAGAGAACATGGCGCCGGTGAGACGCAAGTCGAGGAAGAACGGAATAAGGTAGAAAATTTTTTTTTTCCTGATGAAAGAAGAGAGTCTACTCTTTCTTTTGGTGTGTTCGGTGTTTACATAGTCATAGCACAAACTATTCTGTGGCTCTTGAAAAATCAGTCAAAATGCTCAAAAAACTCTGGCAGTATGGGACTCTGTTCTGAAAATGGCTGCCAGTCAATGAGTTAATGGCTCCTATAGCCTACCTGTGTATCCCACCGTGCGCCCTCCATGTACAGCCCGTGAATGTAGGCCCCCTCCCGAGGCGGGGAGCTGAAATCCTCCCGATTCTTCTTTGTGACGTCACACTGCAGGGACATACTGTCCAGAGGCCACTCGTTCCTGCGGGCCGGCGAACAGGACGTTAGCTTTAGACGTTGGCCGGTCCCGGCCAGGTTTCAGGTCTGGACTAAAAGGCTCTCACCTCCTGGCCATGGCCTGCATGATGGCCGTGAGGAAGGACTGCGGGTTGAAGAAGCCGGCCAGCCACACCACGGAGGGCAGCAGGAAGTCAGCTGACCAGGCTTCGAGCTCTTTGATCCTGGCGAGGAGGTCTGAGACCCACAGAGCCAGTCCCAACATGGAGGGATAGGCCAGTTTGGTCCAGCTGTCGGGCACCGTGTCCAGGAAAATGGCATTCTGAAGGGTCTCCATGTCACTGGTCATCGTCAGCTCTCCCGGGGGGGGGGGGGGGGGGGGGGGGGGTTGGGGGGGGGACAGAAAAGAGGGCAAACACAGATGGAATATTCCATTGTGACCGGCACATAATAACCTCCCGAGACCCTGCGTCCTCATGTGGGGACATTGCTTTTTTCCTCTCGTCACCACGATACTTCTTATTTCTTTGACCTTTGACCTCTTAGTAGACGCCATCAGACACTACTGCTTGAAATCCAAAGTAACGGTTTTATACATTTTCAACCAAACATGTTCTTATTGTGGTATTCAAATTTTGTAAATAAGTCATTTGGACTCTCAGAATCAAAGTGCTTAAACATAAATTTATAATATATATATATATATATATATATAAACAAGATAATGCTAATCCCTGATAACTGGCTGCTTTTATTCCAATGTGCAAAGCATCAGAATGATGATTTATTTTTGACAGTCTTTCTCAGTCCAGAAAAGAAGCTTCGAGTGTGTACTTTACCTTTTCAGAAACTATTGTTTTCAGAAAATCCAAGCTGTGCGAGCAAATTTGCAATGACAAGCATTATTATTATTATTTTTGTTTTTTCAAATTACAACAAAATCCTGATAATTTGTTGATCTTTGTGTAATGGACCCATAGCAAATTATAAGGATTTTGTCCTTATAATTTGCTATGGGTCAGTTACACAAAGATCAACAAATTTTATGCAATGAATAAGATTTCCATGGATTGTCTTAGTCGATATGAGCGAAATTGGGAGGGCTCCCTTGCAATGATGAATTTTGCCTTTTAAATGCTGGTTTACCCCTATCGGTGTTTAACTAAACAGCTCTGCTGAAATGCTGTCTCAGTAAAATAGTAATTGGCCAACCCGATGTTTAGAACTCAGATCAATGGAAAGCGAATAGATATAAAAGGACATAAAAGAAAAAAAAAGGGTAACTGGTGCTTTCGTCGTCGACAGCCTGGATGGTTCAGGTTATATAATCGTGTTTTACCTCGCCGTTTCAACTTAAATGGTTTTGATTCTTTTATTGCTCGTTGATTCTTTTATGACCTCGTAATTTTTGCTCATACAGCAGCAAAATAACTTGTGGGTGAAAAATTGGACGACGCAGCACAAATTCTTATTTAAATCACAGAGTTGTTCCACAGATTTTACTTAGAGAATGACCTTAAGGGACCAGACTGCTTTTTAACTAGAAAGTTTTTCTTGGATTAGACCCTGGATTTCGAAAAGCCTCTAATACATTCATTGGTGTGCGACCGTAGGGGAAAAAAAGTCATAGTATTTGATGTAAAGAGTAAAAATCGGAGATAAACAGATCCAAAGTAAAACTTTGTAAAACATGTACGAGGAAGAAAGGGGCAGGGCATACGCTGTCATGGGAAAATTATTCTAAGGACATTTTGGTTTTGAAAATTTTCATTACCAAAAGCAAATCCGAGTTAAGCATGTGCATTCCTGTTAACCTCCACAGCTAACTGGAGACATCTCTTGACTATATAAGTCGATGGCTGGCAAAAAGCCAGAAGCAGACTACTGGAACATCCATAAACATTGCATAAGCACTTCTCACCAGAGAAAGAACAGACAAGATGGCTGGAAAGAGCAATGACACTGCATAGAAGAGAAAATATAGGTGTCCTTCACTAACTAATACTGCTGATGTATGGAGGCCCATACATTTCAGCCATAAAGAATTCTTTATGAGGGTGATAAGGTTCTGTAGATTTATATACATCAGCGCCTTTAATGGGATTCTGTCACCTGCAGCACTTCTCGCTACTGATCAGTCAGACAGACACAATGAAAACGCTCCTTTTCACCAAGGCCAGAATTCCGATAGCTCCTATTTATCCCACTACAAAGGCAAAATAGGATTCCATTTGCTGGTACTATGCTCCACTTTTAAATCACTGAGCTGGGTTATTGAGGCTTGTGGGGCGGAGAGATCGAAGACTCATAACTCCCCATAAACACGATACATTCTGTCCTCCTTTTCTTTTTTTTTTGTTTGTTCGGTGTTAACAGAGAATTCGGTCGAGCGTGACACGCTGAGATAAAGACGTCTCGTTCCTTTTTTTCTGTAAGCCAGCTTTATGAATCCTTCTCAAGTCTTGGCTTCTGTCAAATAAAACGCTTCCGTTATCTAATGATACTTCCACAGCCGCCTGCTCTATGCCATAGGAGTTTAAAATAACAAGAAATTTGACAATAATTTAAATATAATTCAATATATTTAGTTCTTACAAGCCACGAAGACCCAAGAAAAATGAAAATCTTATCATATTCTTTCAGGAAATGCCCAACTTTTGTTTTTAGGGAGCAAGCAGAGTTCATGTGCTTGGGGTCCTAAATTAGAAGTTGCATTATCTCAATTATCTAGCTGAAAATAATTGCAGATTTGTGATGCATTGTTATTACTATCATGAGCAAACCTGACAGGAAACTATATAATCAATTCATGAAGAGCTCTCAGGTTTCATTAAAAGGGTAGAGTCAGATTAGTTCTGAGGGCAAATTTGTGAGAGCCCTGTTCTTACTAATTCATTCAAATTCATTTCTGTCACAGAATTTAAGGTAACAAATTACCTTGATGCATTCATCTGATGAAGAACAACTTTCACTACATCATCTAAAATGACAAAATAATCAACAAAGGAGACATTTGGCCCCAAATCTGCCCTTTAAACAGCGGGATATATTCTCTGTGCTTCTGTGTTGGACAGCCTCTAAGTATGCTCACACTAGTCGCTTTTGAAAAATGAACTAAAGAAAATTAACCTCATTATTCTACTAGATGTGCTTGCAGTTATTAAGTTGTTTGTGTTAATAGAGGAGAGTTTGGACACAGAAAATCAACATATGGACCTCAAGCAAACCATGAATCAACACATGGAGGTTATGTGTCCTTATGTTGATTCATGGTTAGCTTAAGGTTCACAGCAGGACATCTGAAAAGGCTTATATACTTTTAAATAAAATCAGCCTCTGTCTTTTAATCATTGACAGAAAGAGATGTCAGTACCTTCTACCTGGTGTGGAATAGCTCCCTTAAATGATAAAATAACCATGTACTGAAAAAGCCACTAAAAGCACAAAATGAATGCAGATTTGTTAACGTGTTGATATTTTAAGGACTAAATCTAAAATGAGATCTAAATATCGATACATAACATATTTGACCTTAAGAAAAGTCAAATGCGACGTGAGTACTTTTAAATGCATGTCTCAATATTATTGGACAAAACCTGAGAGCTCTGATTATGTTTGTATTTAAATATTTTTGGTGAATTACCTCACTTTTCAACACCTTATTACCTTCAAATGAAAGATTACTACTACTACAAAGTGGTGGTAATGGACTGAACTGTTTGCCTTAAAACAACATCAGAATAAGGTGTGAGTAATAATAGGCTTGGTAGAAGATGTAGGAAACTGTGGGTTAGATTTGTACAAAAAGCATAGGGATTCCAAAAAACAACAGCTGTCAAACATCTTTGTGTGGGTCTACTTTAAAAAAAAAGGAAGACGTCAAATGAGGTCCAGTGCTGAGCTGGCCAGTAAAGAGGTTGGTCAGCATGGTAGTCGGCTTTAAGAAAAAAGTTGCAAAAAGGTGTAAAAAAAAAAAAGGGGAAAAAAGTGACTGATGTCAACTATTAAAGTGGACAATTTTTAACCTGCTCAGGTCTGACACATAAAGAATCTGGGTAAACAAAAGTCAGTGGCTTCTTTTGGAAAGAAAAACAGTCTCAAAAGACTTTGTGGTGGATGTTTCTCCTACCACCACCATAAAGGGCCCTCCACCATAAAGCTGGAGGAGGAAGCCTTGGAAGACACCATTGTTCCAAAGACTGAGCGAGGGGAATGTTAATTTTGAAGCTAAGTTCAATTGAGCCCTAAGTTATTTTCCTATTTTAATACATTATTTGCATTAGCTTAAATGTGATTTTGTTTCTATTTTGTTAGGTTTTGTGTTTATTGTCCTACTATTATGTATGTATGTGGGAAGTTTAGGGCAGTCCACCTCTATTTAAGCAGCCTTGGTTCTGTCTGGAGGTCAGTTAGGTTTGTGTTTGGATGCTGTTCAGTTGACCTCAGTTGGGTTATTTATAATCTTAGTTGTATTGTATGGACGTATGACCTTTTGTTGTCACTTTTTAATATTAAATTAAAATTTTTCTCATTTCTGGAACACATTTTGGAACACCTTTGTCCTTGATTTAGTCTGGTCCCTCACAGACTTCAACAAGGATATTTTTAAGTGAGCTAATTCCGAGGTAAAAGAGATAATTCAACAAGAGTTCAGTGTTTTTTATGCCTGCGCTCCTAAATTGAGAAAATGCTTGACATATCTTATGTATCATTTGGTTTCATATGACCAAATATCAGAGCGAGTATTTGCTATAGCTGTGTGCGTCTCTTTAACAGAGTAATAAAGTAGAGTACAGTAAACCGGTTATCGGCATGTTAGATAAACAACAGAACCCGCTATCTGGAGGCACAATGAAAGATGTCCTCTATAAAGGTGAAGACTCCCGCAATTATCACCCCGACTCTGCAATTCACTCGGCTTTAAAGAGCCTTTAAACATTTTAAAGCGCATTGTTTGGACTTTACGACCTGCGGCTTTACTCTTCGGGTTTATTCTTACCCCTCTCATCACCGACAGCTGTTTTCACCGTAACAACTGACAACCCCATTGTACCGAGTCAGCCCGGAACAAAGCAGTAAACAATTACTTCTGCTCTGTGTATCAGGCGGCAGCTGCTCACCAAACAGTCACTGCTGATGGCTTTTTTTTTTTCCCTCTGCCCCGAAATGGTCAAATTAATGAATGCACATTTAATTACTGCGAAGTAAACAACCTCTAACGTTTCATCTAAAGAAATGTAGACACGGAGTTTGAGAAAAGAGTGCAACCTTCAAGTTTATGTTGTGGGTTATTTCCGAGCTGTAAAAACAAGCTTTACTAATGTAGTTAAGTATGTTAGTTTTAGCTATGGAGGTATTTAGTTATGTCTTCCTGTGATGTAAAGTATCGTCACCATCGCCCTCCTGGTCCTTCCTGCTTGTATCAACATATCCTGACCTTAAGTCCGAGGCTTAACTCCTGCAGGGAGCGCCGGATCTCCTGGGTGAGGACGTTCATGCGTTCACACTCCTGCAAGGCCACCACCTGGTAGGGGGTCCTCTCCTCGGCCTTTCCTAGAAGCTCGGCCATGTTGAATTCCTCTGGAAGTCTCTCCATGATATCGTCCAGAGCTGCACGCACCTGGGAATGAAAATGGGGGAGTGAGAAAAGTAGCTTGCGGTAACTTGTCCTATTTCGATATTTTGGAGACACCCTGAGTGAGAAACATGACCTCATTAAAGAAAACTAATGAAACAGGATGGGGCTATCCGTGTCAGATAAACTTACCCTTACCAACACTGACATTCTGAGTAGGTAAAAAAAAAAAGTGTGAACAGACACTTTAAGACGTATTCATTCATTAGTTAATTCCTTCTTCATTGGATGCTTTCTCTTTGTTTTCAATAATGATGTAATCCCTTCAAAGAATCAATATTCACATCATATACTAGTTAGTAAGTGATGAAAGTTAATGATTGGGTCAACAGTTTCCCATGGCAACCAGCTAGAGTGATCAATAGCGGATTAGGTCCCAAACAAAGGATATGAAGTCATCATATGTATGGATTTTTCAGCTCAAATATCTGATTTGGATTTGGCAGCCTTGGACACCCTGAACACAAAGGGATGCTCATTTCTAAGCTCTGGATGACAGAGTCAGGCTTCCAGCTACAGTAATGAAGGTCACAAAACCGATTACGTCCAGTGGAAAACCGTTAGGTGAAAGAGCATTGTATCAAAAGGTGTGGTGCTTAGCACCGTCACCCAGTTTAAACCCCCCAGAAGTCCCCGTGTGGACACGGGTTCTCTCGTGGTGCTCTGGCTTCCTCCCTGTGGTGGATGCTCTATTACAACCACCATTAACTCATTGACTGCCAGCCATTTTCAGAACAGAGTCCCATACTGCCAGAGTTTTTTGAGCATTTTGACTGATTTTTCAAGAGCCACAGAATAGTTTGACTATGACTATGTAAACACCGAACACACCAAAAGAAAGAGTACACTCTCTTCTATCATCAGGAAAAAAAATTGGTTCTACCTTATTCCGTTCTTCCTCGACTTGCGTCTCACCGGCGACATGTTTTTTCATAGCAAACCGTTAGGTTTTTTCTTATTTGCCTACAGTCTATGCTCATCTCCCATCAAAAGTGGCACTGCCACCTAGAGGGTCAATTTGTTACTACATACTCTGTCTAGAAGCCGATTTTTATGGACAAGCTTTAGCAGATCGTCCGCCAAGCCACTCGCGTTGAAAAACATAAAAGACGTCTATAGACGTCTTTGGCAGTCAACGGTTGTATTTGAATTGACGTTTATAGACGTCTTTGGCAACCAATGAGTTAAGGGCCCCAATTAGAATCCAGCTGGAGGTGGAAGCCTTGGAAGACGCCATTGTTCCAAAGACTGAGGGAGGGGAAGTTCAATTGAGCCTAAGTTATTTTGTCATTTTTATATATTTGTATTTAGTTAAATATGATTATGCTTCTATTTTGTTAGGTTTTGTGTTTATTGTACTTCCATTATGTTCCTCCCTCATGTGGGAAGTTTAGGGTAGTCCACCCCTATTTAAGCCGCCTTGGTTCTGTCTGGAGGTCAGTTTGGTTTGTGTTTGGTTGCTGTTCAGTTGACCTCATTTGGGTTATTTATAGTCTTAGTTGTATGTTATGGAAGTATAATATTTTGTTATCATTTTTTGATATTATTAAATTGATATTTTTCTCATTTTTGGAACACCTTTGTCCTTTATTCAGTCTGGTCCCTCACACTCCTACAGCCACAAAAGAAAGTTGGCCCAACTAAAGTTTCCAAGTCGCCATCAGGAGTGGATGTGGGCGTGTGTGACCGTTTGTCTCTGTGTGATCCTCTGATGCACTGGCGACCTGTCTAGGGTGTGCCCCCGCATATCGCCCCGTGACAGCTTGGATAGGCTCCATCCCCGCCCACCACCCAATTAAGAAGAAGCGCTACTGAAAATAAACGGATGGATGGGCTGTGACAAAATGTCCACTAACATAGTCACATCAACCATTTCAGTCAATCTTTTTTTGGTTATGCACTTGTTTTAGATTTTTAAATCAGAATTTATAAAAGTAGATGTCAAATCTATGAGAAAATTTTATTTTTTTTATCTTTAAAGACAAAAATACTACACTACAAATAATTTCAACCAATCTCATGGCATAATTTGCTACACAATCAATACTAAAAACTGCATTGTACCTGCAAACAAATATTCTGTGAGATGGAAACTAAGCCGATCTATATAGTCCCAACAAAATAATTCACAGAGACATCGTCAACATGTTCTTCTTAGCTGCAACCTGACTGGTCAGAGTTAAGGTCACCCACTCAAAATGAGGTGGACTTGGATATTGCGAAGTAGCTCGGAGTGAAACTGAGCCGAGCTGGCTGAGGTTTGCTGTGACCCGTTTCCTTTAGTACCGACTGAGCCCCACTAAGTTGGTTTTCCATTTAAAGTGCAGTTTGTATATGACGATGGGCCGAGAGGCCCGTGACGTCATCTGTGTGTGACAGAAACTGGGGACAACAATGAAGGACATTGCCGTGGCAATATACTAGATAAAAAAAATTCTATTCAGTGAGCAGGAGCCATAGAAAATGCTGCCTTCCGTTATCATAAATTTATGATGCTGCTGGAGATAAGGGAGACAGTTATCTTCATGGAAGTCTCCAGTTTACACATCTGCTAGGGACATCCTGAGCATAAGGATAAATTCAATCCGATGACTTTGAAAACACAGTATAAAATCTAAATTATTATCATTTAATTCCCATTAATACAGTTAACCATCCAGTTTTATACTGTGTATGAAAACAATGTTTTCGATTAACAAATGCAATTTTGCACAGAAATCCTTTGGTTTTGAAAGATAGATAATATATTACTTGAGGTATCTAAAACTGCTGGACATCACCAGTATACGGTATTTGACAGAAAAACACTCAGAATCTTACATATTTAAATGTAAAATAATAAGAATAAAAATAAGAATTGTATTAAGTAAGCATAATGAGAAGAAAACTAAAAAGATTGAATTGATAATTCAGTGTGAAATAATGTGAAATTAAACAAATCGATCACATGAAAATTAGGACATTTTTAAAAATCGTATTAATAAAAATGATAATGAAGAGAAATTTACATTAAATTTAAAAGAATAACAAAGTTGAGTGAATTTAGTTGCTGAAAAAATTATGTACCTGAGTGATTGTGTTGCTTTTGTGCTTTCTCATAACAAATGAACATATATGGGCATATTCATTTTTTTGTGTTATATGTTTTGTTTATGGTAGCTGCCAGTCCCATACATGTGTTATGTAAGAAAACAGTCTTTAATAAAATTCTATGCTGTCAGGCTCCTTTTTGCAACTCTTATTTACTGCTTTATGGTCCTGGTTCTTAATATGTAATTTATAATCTTTTGTAAACAGTGTGAATCAGGGAAACAGCAGCCAGTTCGCAGTCCAGTTCATCCGCCATTATTGGAATTAGACATTTGTTTTTTAGAGTTTTCTCCCATACCTTCTCCTCTCTGGTGCTTCCACCCCCCTCTCCGACTCCTCCGTCCCTGGGCTGCATCTCCAGCACGGTGCGGAAAAGCTTCTCTGACGTCTGAGTGAGGAAGCCGATCTCTGCATTGGGATGAAGGCCGTACAGGTAGGGGGACTCCGGTGGTAACGTGTCATCAACATACTGAGGAGGAAGAAATGAAGTCACAGCCATGCAGAAATCCTTAAATGCATGCATTATTCTACAAAGCTAAGACTTGAGACTTTGTCAGGATTTGAATTTCCCCCATATTTTTATGAAGGGAGTGTTGCTCCCAACCCCAAGACATAAAATAAAACAGTAAACATATTTTCTTCCTTTTGTGACTTAAAAAAGACCAAATTGTGGCACAAAACTTTTATTTTTTTTATCATTTTTTTTTAAATGGACAGTTTCGAATTGGGAAACTATAGTTATTATTAAAAAAGTAACAACTTTTCCTGTATTCTCCGGTGACTCTTCGAAAAGTACTGCTGACAAACCACAAAAATAGAGCCATAGAAATGATGAGGTGTACCTAGGTGGGCTTCAAAGACCCCGACAGACTGCTGATGACTATAAAAAAACAGAAGGAAATGTTGCGTTTTCCATCTGCTGCTCTTTAATGAACTAACAGGCTTTAATGTTTCTGCAAATGAAAGTGAAAGTTAGGTTTTGGAAAAAAAAAAGACGCTTTTTGTGGTTCACGTACATTAAATAAAAGAAGTACTTCTAATCATAATGTCCTGATGAACGTTTTGAGGACATTCTAGCCTTTAGTATGGAGACACTTTGTAGCCAGCTTGTTTGATCAGCATTTCCGGTCAAACTCACTGACGGCATACACATGTATAATTCTTAAAGAGTAAAAGAATGCTGAGTCATATGTTTTGTAGCAGCCCTTACTTCACTCTTCAACTCTCCAATTATGTTCAAATTGGCTGTAAGGGAAGTTACAGCCTAAAAGACCTCAAGAAATTCAAAGGCCTTTAAAACCTTCGCTCCTTGCATAAATCTAGATTACAGAGCCTCGGCTTGGTTGTGTTATTGCTTATGGTGGCAAATTGAACTAAGGACGAAGTTGTAATAAGATAAAGCTTTGTTTTTCCCCTTTGGAGAAAATCTCGTGCAAAACTCAAGTATTATAACTCGCAACAGCGTACAAACCTCCCTTTAAGGTGTTTTTTTTGTCAAATGAGGAGGAACAATATTCAACAGAAAAGAACAGGCGAATCAATACAAAAAAAGAAAATAAATGGAACTCTGGTGGATTGTCTAAGGGGCTTAAACAGCACATTAGACCTTATCATGGCGCTGTCACCATTACCAATGGAGGTAATTCTAGAAAGCTTTCAATGCAGGTTTTAATGGCACTTTTAATACTTATGACCAGAGCTATCAGTAGCTCAGTAAGAATAATTGTCTTTCCCCAAACTGTTTTCATAGAGGTATTTGCAAAGTTGCAGCACAGTGCACCTTTCATCAATAGCCCCAAAACAAATGAAAAAGGAAGCAGCACTCATTGAGGATGCTGTTTGGCTGTTTTATAAAGAAAAAAAGTTAATATTACACAAAACTATATTTTAACCAGTGAATATCGTCGCTTAAAAAAAAGTAACTGCGAGTCAGATTAAGGAAAATCAGGATACATTAAGAAACCCTACCGAAGTTTTAATATATGTAAATAAATGTGTGCTTAATAGACAGCGCTTGCAGATCGATAAGCTGTTTCTCTTGGCTGGTTGACAGGAAACATGGCACGCAAACAAGAAAGCTTGAAACAAATGACAGGATTATAAACTTCCTCCAAGATTGTCCTTCATCTATTCACACTTCAGGTACAATTTAAGCAAGAACAAACAAAAATGGTAAAGTTCTAAAGTTGATGCCAACATTCCCAGAAAAAACTCAAACAACTACTAAAAATTGTACTAGAAGAAAATAAATGAAAAAATGGGCAGAAGCAGATGTGCATATTAATGACTAAACTAACAGAAACTGGATGAAGAAAATTTAGATTTAAAATCAGACAGAGCAGAAATAAACCATTGCCAAAAAACGCCTAAACAGAAGAAATCGAAGTTAAAGCTAGCAAAAGAGAAGCGGGCTTTGATGGATAGAATGAAAGTGGTTTTCAGCAACAAAACAGCCAATCTGCCTTGGCCAAGAAAATGTGCGGATAGAAACGCGGCCATCCAGCAGATTTCCATAGTCATGGACGATAGTGGGTCGATATCAGTTGTGACCAGAGCCAATGGCAGTCATTACCTGGACAGCAACAGCTCAGGTGGACACTGACATTCATTCCATCAACTGAGAGAAGGTTTGGTGCTGCTGGGATCATTTTAGAATGGTAATACGTTTCAAACCGAGTTCTAACAGAACAATGCAATGACCTCCTTTAGCTTAAAAATGCTACATCCTGCAAAGCTTACCTTTGAGCTGCCGTATAAAAAAGCTGAAAAACTAGCTAATAAATAACATTGCTTTTCATTTCTCAAGTTGAAGCCTCAAAGAAATCCAGTTGCCTTAAAAGCCTATTTTATTAGTAATTTTCTTCCTCTGGAGTCATTCATTCTATAATTTCTTCCTTTAATAAAAAACAATGCGACTATTTAAACCTATATTTTGTTTTTAAATTTTTAATTTCCCTCTGGGATTATTAAAGTATGTCTGATTCTAATTAATGAACAACAGCTCTGTGACCGTTCTGCAGGAGAGTAGAGTCCAGTTTTTGTTTGGGGCTGGAACACAGTGGGCAGAAGTGAGGAAGCAGATCTGCTTATCGGGGAAGTCAGAATAGGAAAATCACAAATATCCAATCACCAATAACCTTTTGAGGAACTGATATTGTGATTGTTCTTATGACCAAGCCATCCATTTCTGGTTTGCCCCTTTTCTAACCATGCTTTAGTTACTACGTCCAGATATTTAAGTAGGTTACACTTTTTGCACATCAAAGCCACGTAATAGAGCTGTGGGTTTTAGAATAATCCAGTAATGACAGTCATCAGTGCAGATATGATACAGACATGAAAGAACAAGTGGAGTTATCAGTGACAGTAAAAAAAAATTAAAAAAACACTTTGAAGTTAAAATCTTTGGACAAGATTCAATTGGCATTTATCAAATTACACTTTCAGAAAAGAAAGCATTAGAAGAGGTCCCTTACTTACTTACTTAACCCTGTAACACCTAACCCAAGAAAAAACATTGGATAAAGTCATATCAACCTTTATCTTAAGTCTTTCTTCGTTTCTTTGTCAAAATGTTAAAAGGGATCAAATGTTATTTGCGGATGTTTTTTAATCAAATAAAAAATTTCAAACACAGTTTTGACTATATGAAGGCTTAATAGGTTTAAGAAATCTGTGTATTAAATATGATACGTGCAGCTTTAAAGGGTTAAGAAAATGCTCAAACTATCAGTGCAAGTCTTTGTGTAATTCTGTGATGAGACATTTTCTTCTATCTTTTCATCTACTTTCATTCGAGCTCCAATTCAGAGAAGAAAATGAATAAAACTGAAACTACAACCTCTTACTTCCCAGGGACTCGTGTTGGAAGTGTTTTATTATTATTGATTTTGCACTGACCTGTGTATGTACAGAGTGTACCGGGAATGATTATGAAAAAAAGGTTGAATCACAGCAATTCAGTTATGTAATATATTAATATCAATATATTAAGCTATCGTTAATTTGCCACAGGCCACATGGAGATCCCATAGGGATGCCCAGTGGGTGTAACCATAACATCAGCCTGTTATGTAAGTTAAGGTTACAAAGAATTTATTGGCTGATTCCACCATATTTTACTACTGTTTTCCCTGCTGTGGACCATTTGTTGCTTTAATAACCTTTTACTTATGTTTCTTGTCGTCTAGTGGTTTGTTATAACATGATAATCTATGGGTGATAGGGCCTTTTCTGTTTATGCTCCTTAATTCTGGAACTCTCTTTCTACTGAACTCAGAGAGGCCAAGACTCTTGGCATTTTTAAAGCTCTTCACTTTTTTAAACTTCATTTCGATTGCTGATGATTGTTTTATATCATTTTCTTAGTGTTGTTGTTTTGTTTAGTTTAGTTTTTATCAACTCCTTCTGGTCATATTTGTCTTTGGCTTGTTATTCTATGTACGGCGTTTTGAGAAGCTGCTTTTAAAGGCGCTCTATAAAATAAAGTTTATTATTATTGTTGTTATGATGTGAGCTTAGCATAGCCTGCATCACCTGATGGTAACTGGCGTAGTCCATGTTTCCAGGTAAGGGGAAACCTGGTGCCAGATACAGCTCCCCCTCCATCATCTCTGGCTTGATGAACTCCTCCAGGTAGGTCCGGCACAGACGGCGGTCCCAGTCGTCCGTGATGTGACCCCCATACATGATCTCACCGAACAGGTAGCGCAGGTCGTCATACGGTACCTGGGGATTGGAGGAGTCGCTGGTCAGAGGTGGCACGAGGTGGTACGGGCTACCAGTTCAGATTACAAACAGTGAGCTTTGGACCTCCCTGGACAGGAGAAACAGTAACATAGGTACCTTAGGATTGGCCTCCAGATAGTTGTAGAGGACATTGACAGAAATGGTGAGATCCCCGATGTTGAAGGGGTATGATCTGTTCCAACCCTGGGGACCAAATTTGCGCCTCTCCGCGACCACAGCGTGGAAGTAGCAGAGAGCGAACCAGATGTTCTTAAACTCGTTCTCCCGGGCACACATCTCCAGCGAGTCCTGGAAAACGAAAAATCAAAAGAGCGCATTTAAAAGACGGGACATCACACTCTCGGAGCTGCACGCTCGCAATAATGGTGCCACGTTAGTGTATTCCAGGCAAAAAAGGGTCATGGCAGGCGGCCCTGTGATCAGCCTTGTTATATCCTCCAAATAGTTGCATTGAGAGAAAGAAAATGGGGAAACAATCGGTGATAAGCCCAATAATGACATTCCTTTTTAATTGTCATAACTTCTCAGCCTCCAACTGTCTTCGGGGCTCATTATTGTAGACAGGCAAAGAAGAATATTGCGCATAAATGGTATTCTAATCTCTGGGGGGGCAGACAGTTAAATAAGCATTCCAATAAACTCTTTGGATAGAGAAAGACTTGGATTGTCTTTATTACAGAGGGTGCCGCGGTGGGTGTCGTGGACAGGGCCCTTCGCTTCGCCTGCTGCAGTGCCCTGGGGAGCTGACTGCTGCGATGCGCACGTGGTGTGCACCAGCGGGCTGACTACCACACATACTCCCCGTCTGGGCTTTAGTTAATATTCAGCGCAGCGCTCCGCTGCTCAACACGGCTGAGAGAAAGAGATGCACAGCCTCGCTGTTCGTGACCTGTGGACTCCGGCGAAACAGCGAGCAGTCGGATCGTCGACACGAAAACACAAATACCTGCACATGCACGGACAAACGCATTTCCATATCTCCATATCAACGAACTGTCTGAGCTAAAAATCTGAGCGTGTGTTGATTGAAATCATGAAATACAAACCGAGGGGCTTTGTGCGATCTAGAGGATGTTGTACGTTTGTTTTGCAAGGGCATTGAGGAATAATTATCCAACTGAAGCTGTTCAATTGCTCAACACTTTACTTTAGCATACCGCATTTAACAGTGGTCTGGGAAAGGAAGAAGGCTGAACAGTAGAACTGCAACATTAGCTCCAGGAAAAAAACGAGAACAAATAACCAATCATTTCATAGGCTTAATTCCGGGTTGAGCCACCGAGGTGAGCTATTACAGAGTTAGCCTGACATTGATTAGCTTTCACTGGGTCCACGTGAATGGAATACTCCCCATTTCTAACCTTGCTGGACCTCCCCGTGGCTCTACATAAGGCAGGTCGCGCAGCACATTGCATTATCAGGCAGATAGACATCAGCAAACTAAGGATCATGGAAATGGATTGGAAGGAAGCTGAGCACTCAAGTAATGCCGCTGAGGAAGATGCATTGGCAGCAAAGCACTGGGGTAATGGGAAGGCATAGATAGAGACCGAGAACCGATAAGGTAAAGAAAAGCTAGGGGAGGCCACCGTGGGCGCACTGATCCATTCTAACTATAGGGGCTGTGGAACGCTCGAGGAACATGATATTGTCTGGCTGGTTTCAGATAACACACGCAGAAAAAGCAGCAAATTGACCTTGTTGAGATGTCTGTCCTCACATAGCACCACTGTCTGGCTGCAGAACATAGTCACAGAAATATTTACCATCAGCAGGTGCTGTTTCGAAGCCCTGCAACGGTCAAAATGAGTGAGAAGTGATTCCGTCTGAGGCCCTTGTGTAATGGCAGTTTAATGACAAATCTAGAGCGAAAATTGACACGGGTTCTTTCTACTCCCACTCACAGCAAAACGAGGAACGAGTCTTTTGAGAGAGAGAGTGAACGCGTAACAAGAATCAGACATCTTCAAATAGCAAGAATCCCATACAATGTGCACTTGAAAGTATAGGAAAAAATTCTTGTTGTGGTTCTTCGGGGGTGAGCTTATCGCTGGTGAGAGTAAACAAAAAATACAATTTTTAGTAAATTAATAAATTAATAAAATAAAGTTACTTTCTACAAAGCAACATGATGCAGAATGTTATACGGATGATATAATACAGATGACGAAAAGCAAAACGAGCCGTAAATGTGATTTTTTGCCTTGTAATGTCTTAGAGAATTCTTTTAAAATAAATATTTCCTCTTTTTTGCTTACAGCTGAAAGATATACTTGCAATCACCTTAAAAATCCATCCTTTTTGGCTGGAGCCTATTCCAGCTGTCATTAGGACACCCTGGGATGGTCGCCAGTCCATCAGAGGCTAACAGCATGCTTACATTCACTCCTATGGTCAATATGAAGGGACCAATTAACCTGGAATACACACGTTTTCTGACGGTGGGAGGAAGCGGGAGAGAACCCACACATACATAGGGAGACCATGCAAACTCCACATAAAAAGATCCCCATTAGTGAAGCCTTTCAAACCAGGAACTCTCTTGCTTTGAGTGGATTTGCCTCAGCACTGTGCACTACCACCTTAAAAATATAAATCTGAATTCTCTGTAAAAAATGTTTATTGTATAATTGTCATGTGTTTTTATGTTGTATGAGGCAATAAACATGAATTTTGAATCCATAAAAATCATTTTATCCGTTCTTGGTGTGTATCAACTCCCAAGAAAAAATTCATGCACGCTATTCCGTGTTCACAAATGTGGGTGAAATGTTACTCTGAAAATAACTGCATGCTGTTCCAGAAATAAAGCTGTTTGGAGTAGCGAGTATGAACTACAGTGTACTGTAACAAAAGGGCTATTTCAACGAACTTTCCCAAAGCGGAGGAAATGTCAAAGTTTTTAAGAAAACGCCAACATTTTTGTAATCGCACTGACAAGTGTGTCCAGATTAAACTTGATTCCTTTTGGTAGAAGCCTCGGCTGGATGTGTTACCTGGTTGAAGTTGTCCAGGGCCTTGTGCAGGTTGGCATGCATTCCGGTGGGGGGCTCGTTGGTGATCTTGATGGAGTTCTCCAGGATGCCCTGGGGGATGATGTGGCCCTCACGGGTGGAGGAGGGCTCGGCGCTGACAAACACCCTGAAGCTCTCGTGGCTCCCCTCCGCCTGCTGCTCCAGTAATTTCTCCAGGGTGCCCAGCCAACGAGCCACCAGGTGGATGTTCTTACGGAAGGAGAGAGGAGATTTTCTTTATTTCCGTGAAAGACTGGGGCTTTAAAGGATAACTCAAACTAGCTTAATGAGGTGCTCATTTCAGAGTTGCTGGTATAATTAAATTTTGTAATTACAATTCACAAAAGGGTGGAATTGAATGTTGCACATTCCTTTGCTCTTCACTGTGACTTTGATGTGGCATCAAATTAAATGGTACATAGCACTTGAAAGCCGTTTCCCTGTTGAAGATATTAGGGGACCGTTCTCCATAGCTGGAGCCAGACTTTTTCTGCATATTCATCTAGGTGTGTGCTGCATGGGCAGCAGAGCTGGCTTGTACTATCACACAAGCATGGATGAGCTCAATTTTCCATCTCAACTGGCCTGACACGTACAGGATATCCTGTGAATGATAAGAAGTCAGCCAAGCCCCCCACATCTCACCATGCAGCACTGCCCATTCCCTAAATCTAATTACAGCACTAATAACTCCAGTCATTAATTCATAAGCCGCTTTACTTTCTCATTTCCCTTTGCTCTCAATATTTAATCTTCCTTATGATGGCTGAAGTTGGAACTCTTTACAAATGAAGGGACACAAGAGGGAGTGGAACGGCAATTTTAAAAGGACTCGCAGAATAAAGAAAAGTTAATTTTTGCGATTGTGAAGCTGAAGAGTCACAAAGTGAATAAGTTATTTTGGCTATTCATGCCTAAAAGTATTGAACGGTATACAAATTAAAAGTCTAAATTCAAACCCCTTTTCATCAAGCCAGAGTACAAGCCCTCCAGTTGGCAGGTAAATAGTCTGGCAATAAAGGGAGGCAACAGAAGAAGAGAGAGACTGCCTTAGAACTTGTCACTGTAATGAAAGCATTCATCCTCTGGCTGCGGGGAGACAAGACGAGAAGAAACGCAGTGCGAGGCGCAGACCAGCAGGCCAACAAACAAACAAACAAGCCACAGTCGCAGACGCTTTTTTATGGCTTTTTAATTAACTTTCAGGTGCGACGGTTTTTTGTTCCCCCCAACATCTTCTCGATAAGGGCCTCCCAGCCTCCGCGATGACTGCGCTGATACTACATCAAACAGTCATCTATTTACATAATAATATAAAAGTTGAATCTAAAACCCATTAGAGGACACCGCCGGCAAGGTTTTTTGATGCATTGCTATCAAACGCAACCTGAGGGAAGCCACAATGGCGCGCTCAATGGCTTCCCGAGGCAAACGCGCACGGGCGGGTGCATGCGCGCGTGCTGTCTTCCTCTTTCACACGTGCGAAAAACACGTTGGTCAGGGAACGGCTGCACAGCTGGGCCTCCCGCGCTGAGGGAGGCGTCAGACTCCAACAGCACGCCAGACGGCCCGGCCTAAATTTAAAACGCTGGACAATACCGCGGCGGATGCATTTCTGTGTTGCTGGGCGTAAAAGTCCTCATCTTTAATGGCTTTAAAAACAAAAAAAAGATTGATCTGTTTTCATGTAAAATATAGCTATGAATATGAGTGTGCTGCATTTTTGCTATTAATGCAAAAACAAATATACAGTGGGGGAAATAAGTGTTTGACCCCTTGCTGATTTTGCCGGTTTGCCCACTTACAAAAAATGCAACGATCTATAACTTTAATCATATGTACATTCTAACAGTGAAAGACAGAATCCCAAAGAAAATTCCAGAAAATCACATCATATGAATTTATAAAAACTGATAACCATATGATGAGGAAAAATAAGCATTCTTTGTAAGTGGGCAAACCTGCAAAATCAGCAAGGGGTCAAATACTTATTTCCCCCACTGTATGCTGAAAAGATTACTCCCCCCCAGTAATTATTCAATGGAACAACATTATGTACACAACACATGAAGATAGAGGGTAACAACAATTCCTTCTGTACATTCTGCAAAGCTGAATGTAACAACTTACAAATAGAAACTAAGAAAAATATTTAGTTAATTGTCAAAGGAACCATTATGTTAAACCAACAACACACCAGCTTTTTAGAACTGATCAAATATTAACCTTTCTCTAAAAAAAAAAGAAGAGTAGATTTCGATTGTTTGCTGTTAATGTGTGGCTTGCAGAAAGTAATACACATGGTGTTTATAGATAATCAAGAATATTAATTCGCTGATCAAAAGATGAAGCTCAAGCAGAAAGATAAGTAGGTCTTCCATTGGCACATTGGCGTCAGAACTTTCATTGCTAATGCACACACATTTTTCATAAGCCATCGCCTCTTAAGGGCATTCAGAAATTAAAAAGGGCCCACATAGACACCATTCATCAATGGTGGACAGAGGATGGGCCAGAGTTTTAGAATATTAACAAAAACAGCTCCAGGATGAGTATTGATTGGCTGGGACCTGTGCCAGACATTTGAAATATTCTAAACTGTCCACAAGTTACGTTAGCAAGTCATGCAACCAGAACTCAGATATGGATTTGGCTATGCGAGAAGTTATCTAATTCTAGACGAATAAGAAATTTAGAGCTAATGAGTGCAAATCCTGGCATCTTTGTTTTGAGGCTTCTGTGTCTCCTATTTTATCCCATTGAATAAGAATAACTTAATCTAGAACTGGCATTTTTGTTTGAACACACTCGCTTGCCCTTTCTGAAATGTTTTTTGGAAACAAAAGTATGAGTGTAACAGGGACCTAGAGACTGGAAAGCTATCAGACAACAGCCTGATACCAATAAATGATCTCAAAGTGATAACAATTCCACAAAGGGGAGAAGGAGGTTGGCTCCAGACTGCGTTTTAAAAGAGACCATGAGGGAACTTACCATATCTGCAGGTGAATCTGAAGTGATAAGAGCTGGTATTGATACATTTGATTTTGTCATCTGCACCAATCGATTGATAGGACTGAGTCATCTGGACTTTTTAATGTAACAGCCTTAAGAGATTTAAACAGGAGGAGACTTAAGTGGAGTATCTTGAAACATGTTGATAATAATTCTATGCACTGAAATAACTAGATCTTCAAATGCTTTTATGTAAAATGAACATGATTTTTGACAATGAGAGAATATCTCTTACATCATTAGATACAATGCTTCTCAGTCTCAAATAAAAAAGATTTAACCTCTGAATCTGAAAAGTTTTCTATACTTACAAAGTGAAGTGCATATTAGGGCACCCATGCAGAGCTTTCTTTCTTTTTTTCAAATAAAAATGGTCTCTCCTTTCTGTCACTACCCTCCAATAGGCTGGCTGTCGAGGTAAATGTGCAAAGAGGGTGGCGAGCTTAGGCCACCCTATTCAGACTGCCCGGCCAGTGTGGGATATTCAGCTGCAATCTGCTCAATTGATTGCCTCTCCATCTTCCCCCTCCTCTTTTGCGGTGGGCCGCTTCAAACTTTCTGCATCTCTGAGTCTCGGCCCTATCAGAGCCGAGCCTGCTGTTCTGAAGTATAATTACCCGTCGGGGAAAGGGGAGCCTGCCATTGACCCGGCTCTTCACTGATGGAGCCGGGTCTGGCAGCTCGCTGCCGAGCAAATGTGGACTGGGAGGCGAGAGGAGAGGGGGATTTGTAGGACAATAACTGAGATGAGAAAGGCTGAGGAGGAAGGAGAAATAGCAAGTTACCAGGACAGGCTAGAAGATGTGAGGATTGATAAATAGGAGGAAAACTGGAGAAAGATTATAAGGGTCGACTCGTGAGAAGTTACATTACAAACTGAGAGCGAGTGACAATAAAGCGGATGGAGCCCTTTTTCTTGTTCAAATCAGGAAGAATATGAGATCATAATATCGTTCCCGGCATCGGTTTTTCTCCCTCTCCCTGTTCAGTGCCACGGGGGTGGCTCTCAGTAGGCAGACAAACAGACAGTCAATGAGAAAGCGAGTGGGAGGCTGGTTGCTAGGGGGACAAGGCCTTTTTAAGCCTATCGATCGGGATTCTTATGCAAAGGTAATTAAACAACTGGTTATCCATGCCATCCCGGTTCTGAAAAGGAAAGTAAAGCTGTCACTGTTCTCTTTTTTCATTTTTACCAGCTGTGTGAATTAAAAGGAAAGGGCGTCCCACAGTACCCGGGTCTGCGGCTCATATCTGTCGATACTTCTCATTAGAATTCCACCAAGGTTTCCACTTAAAATGCAAAAGCCAGCAATGCCCTCCAGATAAAAGAGAACAGACACAGGGGCTGGAGATATTGTACTGTATAATGCCTTGGCCCCTTTCAGGTAGGACATTTCTGCAGAATATTAAACTCACTTTTCCATGCAAAACTTGGAGGAAAACAAACATCCCGGAGAGTTTGCAAGGAAAAGGATAGCAACAACACACCTAAATGGACCCAATCATTTTCGCACAATTTGATCCTTTTTTGAGCTGCTTATGGTTTTAAACGCAACACAACAAAAGTCCAATTAATATGCAAATTCCCCAAACTCTGGTTAAAAATATTGTACCTATTCATGAGAACACAAACAAAATTATAAATACATGTTGCTGCTTTTTGTGGCATCTCTGGGAATAATAAAACAGGTAATTATTTGTGGATCGTTACAGCGAACATCAAAGAGCATTGCTTTAGTCGGTTCTGGGCTGTATGTGTGTGAGTACACCGTACCTGTAAAATGACCCAATGGCCACTCTTAGAGGCCAAATCAAGGGCTCGTTCAGCTATGACCTCCTGCCCTTGACCAAGAGACACGTTGTGGAAGTTGTTGTTGTCGAATGTGTATCCCAGCTTCTTACCTGAAGGGAAAAAAACTATTTAATATATGTCATGTAGAAAACATTTGAAAAAAATCAGTAACAGACATTGGAAACAAATCGCATGGTAGATCACAACATACTTATAAACTTAGCAAATCATGAGATTTTCCTTACTTAATGTATTCGTTTTGCTGATTGATGTCCTCCATACCTGCTCCAGTATGATGGCATCCCCTATCCACAGCTAATTAGTGTTTACTTGATGACAAATGCTATTAAGGGGGAAGGACGGGATAATAAGAGACTGATCTCTGGGCCTTTGTTACAAACTAAACATTTATCGGCGTGAAACAGCCGGTTCGAAACTCATCCTGCACAATTTCCACAGTCATAGACTTTTTGGCTTTAACATCAGTCCCCCTATCACCTGTGAATGACTAAGACGCAAGTTTAATTTGCATGGTCTAGGTCACAAAGTTCCAGCTCTTTGTATTTTCATATTCACATGTTCTGATTTTCAGTCGTGTAATGTGAACAATCTCGGATATAAAAAGATTTAAAAAACAGTTGTTTGACACAAATAAAGTCCTAAATTAAGTCCCAACATGCATTCAATCACTTTGTTATCAGGTTGACAGTCATTTTACTTGGATACCTTGAAATTACTCACCAACAGTACAATGACATCTGTGTGGAACTCAAAAAACATACAGATAATGAATGTATGTCTGAGAGATATTAGATCCCTACCGTGCATACAAAATCACACCACCTATCTAATGAAAATCTAATTGAAGGCCAATATCAGGGATAAAACCAAATAATCACAGCTATAATGGAAAAGTCCCCTCTTTCAATCAGGCAGCAGCAGCTCAGCGGCGACTTCTTACTTTTAAGCCTTCTCTTTGACTGACTATGTTACGCTTTAAAGGGAGGCAGGTCTACAAGAAATGCGCCCTCTTATCATATTAGGAGAGGATGGTGGATTTCAAATTGTGCTCAAGGTTTGTCCACGGCTGATTTCACCACCTGCTGCAAAATGCTATCATTGGACTCCCAAATGATAACTGTCAGGCTGAAATGAATGCATAGTGTGAATTCATTTCAGAGGGCGCCTCAAACTGAAACTAAATATGACGAGTTAAGATTCATCTCTTAAATGCAAAATACTAATATTTGGAAATACAGTGAGACCTAGCTCTAAAAGTGTATTTGCTCCACTAAACCCATACAATACCTGCAATCTGAATATTTCATAGAGCTAACCTCAAATACCCTGAGGCTGAATTACTTAGCTACAGATTCAGCGGTGTCAGGCTGTGATGGTGCCCCATCCCTGGTTGGTATAAAAGCTTAGACTTTTCGAGTGTTTTTGGAAAAAGGAAAACAGAGCACCCCTCTGCCATACACATTATTCAAACAGGAATGTAAAGTAACTCTGGAAAGCATGACATTTACTTTCTGCTGCCCCTAATACACCAGGGGTGTCGCCTCATATATTTATGACCTTTACTATAATCCTCTCAATCTAGCCAGAGCCTGTTGTGCATTGGTAGTAGTAGCTGGTATCACAGCGGAGAAACATTGTAGATGTCTTTGGAAGACCGCTGCTCACATTGATACACTGTTACCGTGGGAATCAAAGTCCAAATTCTCCATGAGTGACTGGGCGTTCCATAATAAACCATGCTTTTCCCCTCAGCTTACTAAAATGACAGAAACGACAAAACGCTACTGCGTTTGACCCTACAGAATCCCAGAACTCACTTTGAGGAGGAACTTTAGGACTTATTAAAGATAAAACAAGCCGTTTTACCGTGTTTCTCCACATCCTTCAAAGGGTCCACTCCTGGAGAGAGGATGAAGAACATCGGTGTAGCTGCACCCGACTCTTCAAAGGAGACGGCGAAGTCTAGCGATCTGCCAATCACGTACTTGCTTCCCAGTTTCTCCTCTACAAAGTCTCTGCAGGAGAGGGTAGGGGTCAGTTCTCCTCTGATAGACAAAACTGAATAACAGCTTAGATTAGAATGATCTGAAATACGTTGGAGTTGGTCTGAAAAAAACAAAAACAACAAAAGACTATGTTGTCGGTCCCCTGTTGATCGAGTCTCTAGTCTTTTAAACTCACAAATTTGCTTCCTTCATTTCCAACAAAACATTGCACTGTTACAGTCCAAACTTTTCACATTCTCTACGCTTATCATGTACAAAACGGTGTAATTATTGTTATTGTGGGCTTTGTTCGGCCTCACTAGTAAATTAATCTCACTGTTTAAAGAGGGTGGATGGAATTTGCAGACCACAAACTATGTGTGACAGCTCAAAAGGAGTCATGCAGGATTTAGGCTGTAATAGGCTGTAAAATACCCTGTTCATATTTCAATACTAGCTAAACCAAAGTTTTAATTGGTAAGGGAGAACATGTGACCTGCTAAACAATTCAACGTACATTGGGGAAAACAGTCAAAATATTAACGGTTCTTTTGTGTTTGTAAAAAAATGTTACAATTATATTTTAAAAAGGACTTCACTGTGAGATGAAAGTGTACAGAGTATCATAAAATTGATTCCACATATTCATCGCACAAAAGCGCAAAGACAACATTAAGAACTGAGAAATTCTTAATGTTGTCGATGATGATGATGATGTCGAGCGCTTCTACATTTATACTTTCAAAACAATAGTCTGGGTAACATTATACCTGCTGCAGTGGCAGCTTGTAGTTGCCTTTTGCCAGTTTGCTATATCAACTTTGATGCTTTATAGAAGATTTTTAATTGGAAACAACTCAATGGTGGAATTGCATTGTACAAAACCCTAATTTGCAATAAATTCTGTAAATAATTTTGTCTGCTAAGATCAAATAACAATATATTTTTACAACATGTTGTAATAATGATATTGTCACATCCACAGACTAAATAAAACGTCCATGTGTAGATAGAAGGTTATCACCGGGTGTTGATAGTGTTTGAGTTCGGTTTCTTTGTCTTTCTAGACTGAGTATAAGAAGCTCTTCTATGCTCCTTGTACCTGCATTTAAAGCTAGTTCTCAGTAAAAGACAAACAGAGAAGAACTGAGGATGTGTGTCTTGTCAACTCTCACTAGAAGCCAAAGGTTAAGTTCTTCAACCTTTTCCCTTTTATCGGAACACCACAGGTTAAAGGGATGCTTCACAGATCACACGTCAAAGGGCAGGCTGTAGGTCCTCCTCTCACCTGACGGCGTACGTCATGCGGTCGGGCCTCAGAGCCCTCATCATGCACAGCCTCTGCAGCGAGCTTTTGCTCTTCCACTCCTGTGGGAATTTCTCTTTCTCCGGACACTCGGACTCCACGAACTTCTTCCAGCGTTTGGCCGAACCTTCGATGTCTCGGTCCAGGTTTCTGAACTCTTCCATGGAACACAGCGACTGGAGGGGGGGTTTGGATTAGAAAAGACAAAGATGAAAGGAGAAGAAAAAAAAAAAAAAGCGCTCCCCTACTGTGATGACTCAGAAACACAAAAGCTGCGACCGCTTCAGAAACATTTCTCAAAACGCAGCAAAAGGACTAACTTTGTTTGGAAAGTTAAAGGAGGAAAAAAAAGACCAAAAAAATAAATAAAAAAAACATAGAAGTGCTTATCTTTTCCACACCCTTATATAAATAATATTTATTCAAACAGAAATGCTGAGCAAACACGATCCCTTTCATAGCAGTGTGGGGGGTGAGGGAAGCCTAAATATGCATAGGTTGCAGAACCAGTGGGGGCTTCATTGTGATGACCCAACTGACAGACACCTTATCTCATCTGTGGAAAACAGCAGTGTCATACAGTGCAGCCTCAACCAGGAACGCACTCTCTGACAAGTACACACACACACACACACACACGCGCACACACAAAAGCATGTGAAATGTGAATATCTCCCATACTGTAACTGTATAAACTATGAGGGTATGGTACTGAAATCACAGCACGACTCGGCAAGAAAGTAATCTCCAGCACTCTGTTTCTGTATAACTTCCCACCGATAGCCATGAGGTGTGGAGAAAGGAGGAAAACGCAAAGTAGAGACACAAAGTGGCTCTTAGCGAATCCTCCTGTACTCCACTTTAGCTTGTTTAATTACCACAGGCAGGTGGCAACTTTTTAGCCCTGTTGAAGACAGAATACTTTCAGGTCTCAAGGGATTCTTTCTCTTTCTCTAATGTCATCGAGACAGCACGCAATCAGAGCATCTTATCCTCCATTAAATCTTTCCAGCTGATTATGCGTCCAAGTGTGATAAGAAAATCAAGTGACACAATTTGATTAGCAGGGCCTTAAACATCTACAGGGTGTGGAGTGTAGCCGGAGAAGCCTCCTTCCTGAACTCTCAAAGAGGCTTAGGTTTGGTTAAGATTGTGGGCTGAAGAACCTAAAAAATTCATAAGCAAAGGAAGCTAAGCTGCCGTTCAGGTTTAGCTTGCTGCTAAACTGATTTGACAAGAGAAGGAACCTCTGTTGTCTGAAGATAGTATGAGTATGCCGAGTGTGTTCTAGGGCCCTTTCAATGTTAAAACGCAGCAGGGTCACAAAGCAAAGTGGCTCCCTGAAGAATCTCGTGAGTTCTGGGTAAATGTGAGATACAGGCCGCTTCTGTTATGCTACTAATTCTCAAACTAGGTTGGTTTTTATTCTTTAAACATTGTTACAAGTTTACGGAAGTGAGTGACAAATTAAAACTCCTCGTGAATTCATTTTCTCTATCTTTTAGAAAGCACATTTTCATTTGATTCATTTACTGTATGTACTTTAATCTAGTATTTACCGTTCTGCGCTGACTTAGTGTGGCTATTTTTTTTTCTTTCGAGTAACTCGTGAATTTCTACCGTCCAAGCAGCACTTCACTCAGCCAGCTGACATCCTGCCATCCATTTTCTAAAACTGCTCCATCCTCTGCAGGGTGGAGGTGGAGGTTATCGCAGCAGACATTGGGCTCCAGCAGGAAAGAGATATGGAAGCCAACATTTAAACCCAAAGCCATCCAAAGCCCTTAGTCACCAGGACAGCTAAAATATGTGTCTTAGGACAATGGAAGCTAACAGTAGTGCTGTGGAAACTATAGCTATTACAGCAGTGATATTTGTCACATGAACTACAGCAACTCCAAATACGACAAACTCATTAAAAGGATTACTGTATAAAATTAAATCCAAAAAAGGTGTAGTTGTATTTGTGGTAGTAAGTACGAAACACATCAAAACATGGATAAAGTCTCTGGCAGCAAAATAGGGGTGATATAAGGCTGGTACAGTAAGTCCGAAGTGACACGCTGGACCAAAGCTGATTCAACTTCTATTATTCTGTTCTGTGATCAGATAAAATAAAATGTGATTTTATTTTGAAAGTCTTGGATGTGGCGTACTCCAGACTCAAAAGATGAGTCTGATGAATCTTGCCTGTTACCAACGCTCAGTTCAAAGGATGCAAAACTGTTTAGCTGCCAGAGTTCTACATAAGACAAAAATGGTCTTGCAAATGGTTTCCTTATTTTCCTTTGTTCCCAGACATTTACAGGTGATAAAATAGCTTCTGGGGTTTATGAATAACTGTGTTCCACGCTCAAACCTTTTTTAAACATATTTCTTTCTCTATAGGGAAGCAGCAGAGCAGCCAGTGGGAACTACAAATTCAGGACATGTAAAAGGAACAAAGACTCAGAGATGAGTTAGAACTAGATTTGAGCTTTCAAAAACTAGAAGAATTGTGTTAAACATAGTACAAGCACGTGTGTGGAGGGGAAATAGATTAAAATGGAGCACACAAAATTAACTTAAGCTAACTAAGGCACAGGAGGCTAACGTTACTGAGGCAAGAAAATCTGTCATGATTGGTATGTTGCTACAGCTATTGGTTAATAAATAGCCTTTACAAAAAAGCAGCATAAAAGTTCAGAGCAACTGGATAATCATTTCCATTTCCATTCTTGTGGATTATTGAACAAAATGCTTGGTCATAATATGTAATTATGTGGAAAATTCATCACGCTTCTCAGTTCCAGGATTTTAAATTCAGAGAACCTCTTTCGAAGTACAAAAACAATCAATATGTCCTGTTCCTTTCAACAAAATAATTATTCAGGTTTCAGCATCAGCGCTCACTCATTTGCTCAGGCACTCAGACAGAAATTATCTCATGCTGGCTCATCCCTGTTGTCGGTACGTTTAAGTGGGACGCCCCCCCCCCTTTCTTTTTTTCTATACCTTGATCCCGCCCCAAGAGTGACTGGATAGAAAATCCACTGGCGACGTTACACCTGGTTGGACCGGGTATCTCAGGAGGAAGTCCAGCTCTGCGGGGTTTATTTCATTATTCATCAGGAGTATCTGGGGACACAACAAACGGGAGGGCAATGCGGTGTTTTCGGCACAAACTGCAGCCTCTTTCCACTAGATTAAATGCAGACAGGGCTTGTAGTCTCAGGAGCAGCCGATCCAGTGGCAAGATTGCTCTCGAAACAAGCCATGCAGAAGATGAAAGCGGCCCCCCTTCCTACCTGAAACACGAGCTGAGCGATGTACGTGAGCTTGTCACACTCAAACAGGCCTCTGGTGGTGTACTGGAAGACTGAGGACGTGATGCTGTCAATTAAGTTGGACACCCGCTGGGGCAGGGCCTCGTCCGGCTCTGCCTTCAGAACAGCTTTCTGGAAGACCACACTGAATGCCTGGGGAAGCACACGGACAGCGGGGGCTGGATGCAACACGGATTCAATAAGAGGTGAAACATGGTCAAACATTCCAGAGAGGGTAAAGTTGGTATTAGCCTGCTTGAAATTGAATCCAATTCACATTTGACGCTTATTGTTCAAACTATTTTTTGGAAGATCTTAAGTGAAAAAGTGCACACACAGACCATGCGACTCCACAGTGTAAATGTTTTGACATTTTAGGGGTTTTTGTACCATTTGGTGATATCTAAAAGTCAAGAGCCTATTTCTATGTTTGAATAATATTAAGTAAACACAGAGTGACTGCTCTTTAGATGGGCTGCAAATAGAGAGTGTACTGTAGTTGCCCGTGAAATGATTTGCATAAAACTGAAAGTGGAACTTTTTAACCTGTGATAACAGCAGCCCAAGTCACTCTATCAAACTTATTTGGCTGTGCAGGTAACAATTTTACAACCAGAAGTCAAAGCTAGAAGCTCAAGACTCTTTAATAGGGGAAATTTAAGATTTGCTTAAAATAGAGACATAACAAACGTTTTCTTTTCTCTAAGATATGTGGTGTATGTTTTACAATTTAACAGACTTCTGCTTTAATCCTCATCATAATGTACAGCATTCCATAGAATCCACAAGGTCAAAGGAATAAAAACGCTGAATGTGTTTTCATTGGATTATACTGGGAAATAACTTGGGCCGATGTAGCTACCTGAAGAGTTGCGAGTGATTGAAAACAATATCTCAGGCTGTCTTCTCTTAGGCTCGCCGGCTGACAATATGAGAGGCATTAAGCCCTTTATAACAACATTAGGGAGCCACAAACACAATAAAAACAGGGCAAAGAGCATAAAACATGATGAGCAAATGGAAGGAGGAGGGGAGAGAAGGAGGAATGCGAGCAAAGAGGGGCCTCGCTTGGAGCCCGTGAGGTGTGTGGGAAACGTGGTGTCTCAATAGACGGGATACCTTGAGAGAGAACTGGTACATGGGATGGATTTTATTGAGGTCGTTCATTATGAAGTACAATAAGGAAGCCCGCGCTGCTGCTGGTCTGTAGTGCTCCCGAGCCTCATTGATTTTGGCCTCTGTCACTTTGGCTTCTTCTACCTACAGTAAAAAGATCTCTTTAAAAAAAACTAAGAAAATCTCCACAGAAACAGGTGTACATAAGCACAAAAAATAAAATAAATATGTTTTATCCATCAGATAATCATAAACCTGTGCAATATCCAATGAATCCCCCTTCTGTTACGAAGAGAGCTATTCCAATTTCACAGTTCTAACCAAAATGTTCCCGTACTGTGTGAAACACGACAATTAAGCGACTTTTTTGTAAAGCTAAAGCCCGTGCAATTATGTTTAAAAATGAACATCTGCAAAGGCAGCCCTCTGCTCGTCACAGACAGAAGGCTCTCTCTCATCTCTGTACACCAGTTTTGCAGAGGCACCACTGAGAAAGCAGGATACAGCAGAGACTCTACCTAAACAGACGACAAAGAGAAATGATCGGGTCCTCTGACGAGTGACCAAAAGGAGTGCAGCGCAGGGATTAGATGCCCGCTATCTGCAGTGGACATGTCTTTTATATAGGTTACCTAGCATTTACTTCAAGATTTAAATCCTTTAGCAGATTATAGGAGTTTTACAACTATAATTTCAATCGATCCTTTATAAACTAAACTGTAATGCAAGTACTTTCTATACCTAAACCTTCTGAATAATGAGAGGGGAATACCCTGTTGCACAGACAGGTTTGCATGGTGGGTTTTAGGCTTTGTTGCCAGCAGATATTGAATTTGTCTTTTTTTTTTTGTGATTAGCCAGAAGACATACAAAAAGAAATCCTAAAATGCCGTCGGTAATACACGACATATACATATACAATTAATTGCATTAAAACCACTGAAAAATATCAAGAAAAACAGTTATCTGCTTTCAAAACTTGTCAGTGTGCTGGATATACAAGGCGGCAGGTTAAAACTGTGTCTTTAGAAGTGATTTCAAGGAAGGGCACGAAACTGAAAAATGTAAGAAAACAGATTAACCAAACAGCTTAGTAACTGTAATAACTGTGGAATATTCAAGACCTACTAGCAAATAGGCCATAAAGGGAAGATATGCCCCTGAATCACATTTTATTTTGCATTTAGCTGGGTTAGGTCAATGCTCTTCACCTATTGCATTAAGAAGTCTCAGGTCTGGCTAATGACCAAGTGCAACCCTTAAAATGTGAATATTCCCCGATGGCAAAGGCTTCATTAAGGATGAAGTGCTAATGGAGCCTCAACCTTGCTTTATTACATTAATAAAACGCTATGCTATGTAGGCCTGGACAATATTTATTCTTAAGAGGTGCAGCTGAATCCATGCCTTTGTTGTTCAGGGCTGTTTTGGTCTAAAAAGAGGCATCCACATTAGAAGGATTGAGATCATATTATGACCAATACTTATCTATTTCACCAGGCTTACGTACTGTTATCTGATTGATTGATTTTTGCTTTTCCTAAAGCATAGTTCCTTCACAAATACATGTATTTATATATATATTCTTATATAAATTCCTATATATAATAACATTCTGCATCTTTTTCAAATCATTTGCCGTGAATATATACTATACTACATAATGATATTGTAAAAATTCTTTATTCATACTGCCGATCCTCTATTTTTGCCATACTGCATCCAGTAAATAATTATATAGATTTGTGTGGTTTTTATGTAGTGTGATGGTTGCAACATGAAGCACTGAACAAATTAAGGAGCAATGATTTAAAAAAGACAACGAAAAAACAAGACCTTCTCCTCTATTTCTGCAGCAGTACGTTTGGTGGTCTCCAGGTTTTCCACCAGCTCCGTGTCTCCCAGGAAGTTTCCGGAAGCAGAGGACAAACGGGACAGCAGGTTGTCCTCCAGGGTCTTCAGGGTAATCTTAAATCCATTCTGCTGCTTTGTCAGGTTTGACTGCGAGACACACAGAAATACTTTATTTGGTACTCAAAAACATCCGCGTGTCAGAAGAGTTCTCAGATCCAGCGCCCTCCTACTCTGAGGTGATTCGGGCTTTTCGAAGGGCGGGTCGATACGAGGGCATGAATGCTGAAGGGCACCTCGGAGGCATAACTGATCAATACACTCTGCATCGGCAATCCGGACACATAGAGGGAGCGCTCTGGGATGGATTAAGCGGCTTCCGTTAGGTTGCCGACATCAAACCTCTGCTTGGCGACTTCATTGTGAGGAGCCCTTCAATTTGCTATAGCTTTGATGATGAACTATGCCCACAAACAAACACTCGCCCCCCTCCCAGTTTATGATGGCTGACATGCTGTGAAATATGATATTCTTAAATATGGAGCTGTGGAGGCGTCACGCAGCATATGGACATGTGCACACATGGCTCCGTAGCACCGGGCTTTACCCACACTCTACCATATGGATTATTGCTCCCCGTCGTCTAATAAAGCTTTAACTCCAACCGTTCTTCTCAGCCTTTGTTCTCCTTTAAAAAAAACAAAAAGCGTCTGAGAAGAACTTTTTTTCGTTTTTTCAAAGCCTGGCGTTTGAGGGGGCATTGGGAGAACAGACTCTGTTGTGCCTCACCCTGCTTTGTCCTTGCTTTTAGTCGGCGGAAGCTTCTAGGTTCTGCTCGATAAGGACTTTGCTTTATTGAAGTTCGTCTTAACGGAACGTTCTTCGACCTTTGAATTGTTGTGCTGCAGTTATTGGGAGGCGGGTTGTTACGTTAGCTTTGCCCTGAGCAGACAGTGGTAACGCATTTACCGGTACATCTGCTTCCATACCCCTGTGATCAGAGCTTTTTGGTGGGGTGGAGATGGGTGGAGCTGCCCCCTGCTCCTGTGGCGTAATCCGCCCATGACAAAAGGCCTACTGAGCTCAGATCGCACCGGGGGAGCAGATAATTCAGGATATCACGTTGCTTAATTGCTTTCTTTATGACAGTATTTCCTATTGCTGGGATGAAAGATATTTTACACCATTGTTAAAACTAATTGAGCCTCCTCCTTTTTCTTACATGCTCTGAATTTTATGTGATTACCTACACTGGAGTTCTTAGCTTAAACTGCCTGCGAGGGATGTAAATGGGATGTGATTCATCGTAATGTTTTTCTTTTTTTTGTTAGGATGTGGCATGCATGTATAAATTCGCGAGAGAAATCCAAAGAGCACAAAGGCCTTGACGGTGGTGCTGTGGACATTCGCCTGTGAGAATCTTCTCTGACCTTCTACATGTCTGCGCCCAGAGCTCTTGAGGGGGAAAAAAAACGAAAACATTCCCAACTGGATTCAGTAATGAGTCAGTTTTAAACAATTAGCTTTCCTCCGGCACATTGTACTCGTAATTACCCTTTCTTGAGAAAAACAAACAATTAACCAGTCAGCAGAACTCCCCAATTGTGATTAAAATGAGATATTACATCCATCAGTTTTAGGCAAATGATTATTGAGTGCCACAGAGAAGTCTTGTTAAGGTCATTTAGAAAGTGGAGCATTTTAGTGCTAATTAATGAGGAAGGTCTGCGTCATGTCAAATCCACACCAGGATGAGCACAAGCATTTGCACACAATAAGGATAGTAAAAGGTTGTGGACTCATTTCCCTGTGCAGTTTCCTTAAAAAAAAGAAAACTTGACATTTTAAGCTCCTTAGCCCATCTTTGGCACAGTTTAACAAGAGCTCTTTCACCCAGGAGTCATCTTACGGCTCAGTAGCAACGCTAACCTCATTAAAGGTATAATGGCACGGAGTCATTAGAAGAATATAAATAGGTATAGCCAATTTGCACTCTCCTATCGGTACCATGATTGTTATCAGTCCGGGTTGTTTACCGACAACAAAAAGCCTTTCAGCACTGCATTCAACAAGCCGTGTTTTGATAGGAGAGTTCTTGGAAGTGTACCGGGCCCCCACTACCCCTCTTCAACTTTCAGTATTAATTAAAATGATAAGTGAGTTCCAGATCGTGCTCTTCTTTTCTTTTGCTTTTTTTCCTCTAATCTTTGGATCTCAGTGAAATGCTAATTAAACAGGCATCATTAAATCATCTTTCACTCCATTGGATTTTTTGCTGAGGGGACGCAGGACCTAAAATAACTCTGGCGTTTTGCCACCCCACCCCCCTTTTTAATTTGATTAAAAATGCTGATTGACCATGGATGAAGGTCTGAGGAAAAGGCATCCTACAGAGACCAAACACGAACAAATACACGTCTTGAAGACCATCAAAATGCAAATGGGACTGTGTTTAGAGTAAATCCACCTGACCTGTTCACACAGTTCCTCTGACATCTTTCATTCTGATCCCTCACAGACAGAGCTGCGAGCCAGATGTGTTCCGAGCGAAGAGGGATTTCTGACTTCCCTTTTCTCCCCCCCCTCAACTAACAAGAGACGCATTTTAGGAACAGTGGAAATGTGTCAATGTGCTGTCTAATTGCCGAGCTACGGTAGCGCCGTCGGCCAATCCATTCCACACAACTGACATGAAACGAGCAGATTGTGGATGAGAGGAGATGGAGCCCTCGTTAGGCGCGGCGGCTTTGATCAAGCGAGTTTTTCCGTAATCACTAACATTTACATTCGCACAGAGAAGCACACAGTGGATATCCCAGCGACGCCGCGCTCATTACTCCCCAAAAGTTGGTCGCACAACTGCCAGGAGCCGGCGGTACTGTAAACAATGTACTGAGCTGGCCATTAAAATTGACCCCTCCATGTCAGCTGAGTGTTACGGCGGGAGGCAGATCCACTGATCAGCAGAGTGGAACAACAGCTTCCCTCCCATTCAGCGACCAAAGGGTCACCACAACACAAGCAGGCATTTACATTTAAAAAGGGAAATTGCCTTTTCCGCGTCAGTGTTCTTTGATTTTGGAGAAGTGGATGCTTGAAATAATGATTAAAAGTAAGATGGAATCCCCTTGAGGGTAGCATCAAGTCCAGACTGCACAATCCCTGGAGCTTAGTGATAAATGGCAGACTGCTGCCGGAACACTTCCTAAGACGACTATGTCACAATAGTGAAGTTTAGTGCTGCAAAAGTTAATAAGATTCTTTTTTTTTGTACTTAGGATAAATGAATGCCTTACTGGCTGATCCTTTCCGGATCATTATCTGACACTCGATCACTAATACTTTAGATAACGTCTATCAGAAACCGATCTCATATGACATTAATTGAAGATTTTCTATTTCAGACTGTTTGCTATTGAGTTTGAGCTTAACATCTGATTATGGAGGGGAGCGGCCCCATCTCGCTGAGCTGAGAAGCAATGTGGAATATTTCAAGGCAACATTTTAAAAAGCAGAAATAGGCGTGACATTTAGGGATTGGCCTGTAGAAAGAAACAGCAGGAAGAGCTTCAATATTCCTCACTTTGACTGAGGAAGTCTTGAGCCAAACCTTAATTCTATATTCACATTTAGATTAAAACGGAAGTGAAATGTTAATATATGGGCAAAAGCCAGTATTTTCTATGACCAGTTTTATTCCTTTACACAACCTGAACCCTCTCTAGTCATCTTAAGCTCTCCAGGCTTCTTGCCAGCTATCCTCCCAATGAGGATCCTATTGGACAAGGTTTTATTCAAGTTTAAAACAGCTGTTCAGAACTCACCTTATCCATTAAACTGTATTATGTTGGTAACATAATACATAAAACATGGCCTGTTTTCTAAAATATTTCATTTGAGTTTAATGCAAAGTTGAAGGAGGGGCACAAAACGCAACCCTCTGCAAAAGACTGGACAAAAAATAAGTGTAAAGAAAAAACATCTGAATAACACTCAATAATGTTACTTGAAAATGAAGTAGGTCTATCTGCGGGGAAGCAAATATTCTGAAAAAAATAGAAGATCCAAAGTATCCAAAGGACATTTGGACAGTTCTGAATCAGGCTGACATTTTACATTCAAAGGGTTAAACAGCTTCAGGAAATCAAACACCAAAGAGTTTCTGCAGAAAAAGGTGAAAACAAGGTATATGTTGTTGTCAGTTTTTAAAAGACAACAACATAAAAGAAAGTGCACTTTAAAATCCTTTTTAACATGATGGAATAGTGCAACAGGCACAGGAACAGGAACCCTGCTCAGCTGGAAGGTTTTGTTAGTGTGACAATTTGTGCTTAATCAAATAAAATTATACAAATCACATGGGAAAATTCATCCAAAAATCTACACTCAACTGTTTCAGTATCAATTGTGCTCCCTGAGCATTGTGCAGATATATCTAATCTGAAAAAGTATTATTAGACAATGTTTGTCCACTATGTCAATTCAAATAACTCCAAAAAGGAAAAAAAAACATTAATGAAGAATTATATCGATTAAATACAATAATATTGATTCGAATGAGACGTTAACAGTTTCTCTCCATGCACGCTTTGTTAAAAACTTGGTCATTTACATGTGAAGACAGAAAACTTGAGCACAGTATGATAAACTGTCTCCCTCACAGCTGTGCAGGGTCCCATTCTCCTGAAGTGAGGTACCCTTCATAATTATCACACATCCACCAGCCGTTAATCAAAGGAGCTAGCTGATTGTTTTGGAATCAAAGAGCCTGGACGTGCAGTCTTTTGTGATGTTTAAAGGCAGGCTGTGTTTTCTCATGTAGACTTGCGGTGTTTAAGATGGATAATGACAAGAAAAAGTCTGCTGCCCAGCTTCTGGAGGCCCTTGACTTTCCTCACAGTTTCTTTTAATTACACCTGCTCAGAGGAGATGTCAGCACTAAAGCTCAAACGCAATCTCTGTCTATTTGCCTTCTGATCAAATCTGAGGAAAGTCACATCCCCTTTTTATGTCTTGTCAGAATCGCATTTATATTCATGAAGCAAATGGTCAAACTTTGCTGATACTGCTAACGTTTTGCCCTCCTTACCTTGAGCTGTTCCAGGTCAGGTCTCACCATGCTGACCACTGACGCCAGCAGCTGGTCCTCCAGACCATCTCTGGTCACTGTGAAATTGATCAAGGTGCACTGGGCCTGCAGCTCGGGCTGGTAATGAGGGTTGGCCAGCTTTGTGTGCAGAATGAGGCGGAAACTGGGGTTGTACTCACACTCCTTGTCTCCAATCTTGATGTACCTGAGATTTAAAATCATTGAGGAATTTTCTACATGAGAACAAATTCTGAAATACCAAGAGTGACTGAAGCAAACACCAGTAGATGTGAAAGTCCCAGATAACTATGCATCAATCATCTGTCACTTATAACAAAATCCCCCAAAATATTATAGAATGACTACAGATTCACACTGTTGTTAATTTACTCAACGCCCTGATATGAAATTAGTTAAAGACAGAGTCATAGATGAGCAACTAATCCAGAGGCAGTATCTGAAACACACGTTTAAAGCTTTCTATAGCTTGAAATTTGTATGGATTTTTCAAAGGCTGACAGGTATCAACGTTCTTGTCATAGTTGATTTTTTTTGTGCCAGTCATAGATTATATCTTACACAAATAAAGATGAAAGAAAACCTTATCAAAGTGATCAGGGCCTCAGTGGTTTATGATTGTGATCGCTTACACGATGGCTCCCCAGTTAAAGTTAACTGAAAATAAAAAGGTTTTTAACAAGAATTATCTGGTACGTCTCATTAAAACAAGGGAGTCTGGGGGGGATGAGGACTACTGATCGTTTCCATCGCTGAACACATAATCATACAGTGTAATTATAAAGGAATAAAAGGACTAGATAGCGCTTGTGGTAAGAGTGGAAACTATTACCGAAGACGCAACTGTCCATCCGGCAAACTAAAACTTATGTTAAACTTAGTCTAAGCTTAGAGAAAAAATAACTGTTAGATTGCTTTTGAAATCATAATAAGCATCAGCATTACGAGGATGCTAGCAGCAGATCCTAGCTATCAATTCTTACCAACATTTCTAGCCACAGTGAGCCAACAGCAGCAATTATTACTCTGGCAGAATGTGACTGGAGAGGAACAGCTCTGGCTTAAGTTCTTACCTTCCCTTTTTAATGGTTTCCCTGCTCAGCAGAGGTCCGAGAACAGGATCCAATACTTCCCCTAAGTTCTCTATGAGTACCACGTCACCTGCTGCCAGCGCTCTCTCCACTGCATCCAGATACCTTCCGGGGAGAAACAGCCGGAAGCTCCACATCAGAAATCCTGAGTGGGATATTTTCAGCCAGAACCCCGCTTACCCTCGCTGCTCCATGCGGATGAGCCGCAGCTTCTCCCCGTACTTGTTCCGGATCCACTTGATGCCCTGCAGCTGAGGGTCCACGATGAGCGGCCAGCGCTGGCAGGAGGTGAGGATGGTGGCGTTCTCGGTGGACATCCTGTCGGCCGGCAGACCCTCGTTCTGCCAGGCGGCGACGTCGGCGGCGTCCGTCAGCATGGTCAAGGGGTCCAGGTCCGGAGTCACCGGGATGGGAACCTTCCGTGTAGCGATTGGTGGATATTTATGAAAAGCAATCAAATAAAATGCACAGCTAATTTCTGCTTTGTGGGATGGTACTGAAACCGGATGTGATGGAGAAGAGAAAGTATATCTTTATGTTGTGTATATTTTTATTTAGTCATATGTCGAGCTTGTAACGGTAATGCATGCTAAATTGAGGAATAATATTATTGGAATTGAAAGTAAAAAATATTAACCAGAAAGACAACAAAAAAAACTGTCATGGTTTGGCTTATTTCTGTGTTTACCTTTAGTTCAAGCAAACTAATTCTTGCGGAAAACTCATTCTAGTTGCCTTGGTTTTACCATTCAAACACAATTATGCAAAACAGTCTCCATGAAAGAGGCAAAGAGTGCAAATTCGGTTCAAACTTAGCTTTGTCATCTGATAGGAAATGCCTGGAACACAATAAACACAATCACAGCTCTTGTCAGCTTCCAAGTGATCACTCACTTCCAGTTGGCTGAGATAAGGCCTCCAGAAGTTATCCATAAGCTGGACTCTGTAGTGTTTGGTTAAATATCCCAGGTAAGAGATGAAGGCACTTATGAGGAGGACATCTCCACACAGGGTCCTCTCCTGCTTCTTAAAGATTGCGAGGGATTCTGTCCAGCGGACCTTCTCGGATATAAGACCACCCACCTGGAATACAGGAAGAGACCAGGAACAGTTTTGTTTTTTAAAAGAAATTGCAAACAAAAATCCTGCCTCAGGATATCCCCTGATGGCACTCTGTAAAATCAAATCTAAATTAATCTATGGGTGCCACTGTCGGTGCTGCGATCCATAAATATCCAACAGCAACAATGATTTGCGACAGTCAAGTCCTGTTTTATTAGCTTTTCATGTCCTTTATAACCTCTCTGCTCGTCTCCCAACACCTCGACTTTTTACTGCGGCAATGATCCAATTTCCCCCCAGGGATGAATAAAAATTCCCCTTAATATCTTATCTCTTCCAAACTTGAAAGGCCGTGGGCTTTGATACATACTGTAACTTCAGCACATGTTGTACAACCGGTGCGCACCTCAAACAACTGACTACATTTGCATTGATATTCGGGATTGACTGGTGGATTAGCACAACTTCTCCGCCTTTTGTTGCTCCTGTCAGGCCTTTTCAAAGCTTCTCTCTGAATAATTTAGATTATCATACTTACACTGTCAACACTCATCTCTTGTTTTGCTATCGTCAGCTAAATTTCCACGGTGTGAGATGATTGAGGGATTTAAGTAATAGCGTGTGTGTAAATGCGCCTTCGGTACAAAAGGAGGAAGCAGCCCTACCGTCAAACATTTAAGTCTGCTGCTATGTCAAAGCCATATTTTTTCAGTTTTTATGTACGTAAATATATAAATATATATGCAAATAAATAAAAACCCTTCATTCATAAGAATTGAATGCAGTGTGCATTGAGTAGTTCCACTTGTAGACTATATTTACCATAAAAAGCTAATCATTTTGAAAAATACATGCTGACATTTCTTGATCAAATAATTAAAAAGACTCTAGATGAAGCCGTTACTGTTATTTTGATTAAAATACATAACAATATGTATTTCCTTAAGAGGGAATGAGTACATTTCTGGATTACCAGCAGCAGAGCTTTCGATTGATGTTGTTGCTTTTCTGCTCAAGGTAATCCAGACAGTGAATGGGATTTCGGTCAATAAGTCAGCAAATCAGCGGCTGGATGTGTTGCTCAACATCTGCGAGCATCAGCAATAGATGACAACAAGGTCGCTTTTCACTTAACAAGGAATGTTCAGGGAGTGTTTTTAAAGCAGTTAAAAAAACAGGGATAGGACACATTTGTCCAGGCTCTTTTAAAGAATAAATACTGTGTCGTGTTTGCTAGAGGATGGATGTAACATTGCTTTTGGTTGTATTTTAAAATGAGCTGTACCAAACAGAAACATGAAAATGACTAAAATAACTGTGGCGTAAATCGCTCAGAAGTGATGAGAGAATTCTTCTTCAGGAACTATTTTCATCACTGGGATAATTATGATCCTGCGTCATAGTAAAGGAATTTATGTTTTTTGGGTTTATTTCTTGTTCTTTACTTTACTTGCCTGCTATGGTCTCATCTTCCTGTAATGACTCTGTAAGTATATATTTCTTAGGTTTTCCTTTGCTCTCTGCCAGTTCTCTGACATCTTCATGAGTCTGTCCAGTCGGTCTGCCAGCTGTTGTTGTTGACAATCAATTTTTCTTTATGTCTCTGGTTCACATCTCCCCTTGCCAACACCTTTTGTTTTTGTTTTTACATAAAATACTTCATCATCACTCCCTGCCCTTATCTCCTCCCTCAGGAGGTCCTCCATTCGGCTGCTGCTTTTTGTGATGGTAATTTGTGGTTGTTTGGGAGTTCTGACAGGAAACAGTTGGCGAGTCAGTCAGTTTGTATGGAGGCCACATGGAACATAACTATAAAAACCCTTCATTTGATACATATTTTGAAATGTGAATCAGAATATGTGGATGTAGAAAATGAAAATAAAAATATAAGCTCTCTAAGCCTGCAAATAAACAAACGTTTAAATGCACTTATTACTCAATTTCAGTTATAATGTAGCCTGCTGCATATCTGCAGCCACTGGAAATAATATTTAGCGTAAATGATTTGCTTTAAACCAGTGAATTAAACATGCTTGCTTCCCCTTTAGTTTTTCTTCCTTTTTCAAAAATTGCTTTGAATGGAAACCCAATTTAATTGAGGCTATACACACTCAAACCTTCTCCAAAAACTGTCAAAACAAAAAAAGAAGAAGCTGTGAACATGTAACCCCAGTAAATCTACAGTTAACAAACACTGTCATGGCTGAACATTTAGGTTTCCAAGTTTTGAGCCTGCCAATAGCAGCCCAAAGAAGTCAAAAGCTTATTTCTGCTGACTCTCATTTGGCACATCGCTCACTGGTAAAAACACTCATCAAAATACTAAGCCTAAAGTGACAATATGTGCAAATTCTAACTAGATTTACATCTCTATTAAACATGTAAAAGAAAACAGAAGACATTCCAACAGGCAGCATCTGCAAATCACTTATTATATATCTGTTTATATGAGTGTGTAAGTATGTGGTAGTGGCTGTGTCGTGCTCTACGTGACCCAGGTGTTGTCCTCCTCACCAGACGGTTGGCCAGTGAAATGGTGCGGGCAGTCAGCTCTGCTTCCTGTTGGCACTTAAGCTTGTCCGCGGTGGCTTTCTCGAACTTGGCTGTGAGCTTTGCCAGGTTCTCATTAAGGTACTGATAGGCCAAAGACAGACAAAGACGTACAAGAAGATTTAAGACCCAAAACTGGCAGCGGTTGTGTTGCACTTTGGTTAAAAAACAAACAACAAAGACAGCCAAAGCCTGACTACGAAGTAACTTTTGGAATGTGTGAAAAGTTGGTTAAAACTTGTCATTCTTTCCACTATGGATTTATTTGGCATATGGAAGCAATTAGCACAAGGACAAACAGGATTAATCGGTGGAGAGGCTCACAGGTTCGGTAGATTAGTTTGAGGATTGTTAATTCCCCTTGGCTCTGAACCCACTCCCTGCTCAGGCGAACTGACTGAGGGCTAAAAAAAAAAAATGACAGTGAGAAGTCATGCTGGAACTCATTAATGAGTCGTCAGTCTGCACTCCTCAGGTTTTGATGTAAACAGCAGCGTCCGCCGCAGTGTCCCGAGTCTGGCACTCTGTCGGGAATCGCCGGCTCTCTAATGTGTTAAATGTCAAACGCCACAGAAAAACTGTTATGAACGGCTGCAGTTATCAATGGGAGTTTTTTAGGGATGATGGATTTGCTTTTAGATTAATGAACATCAAAAGCCTTTAAATGCACTTACACCAGCTCCAAATTGAGCAAATTCTGGTGGTTTATCATTACTGAAAGGGCTCATGTGTCAACTGTCATTCTGATAAAATAATTCATATCCTGACTTTCTGATTTAGTTTATAGGCAGTGATTTGTTTTTATTTTATTTCTGTGGTATCAATAGACTGCATATCTTCAGCATTTGATGGAGTTCCTGATCTGATGTTTTGCTAATCTTTCCATGCTTTGTGTGGAGATTTCTGGATTTTCACGTGGCATTTTTCAACTTTCTGTCAGCCCTGCGTCTCAAGTTTTGAAAGATTTTTAGTATTTATCGTTGCAAGAATTGACAAAAAAAGAACCCAAGACCAAAAGGATGCCTTCACAGTTTCAAAGTTAATAACCTTTGGATATTGCAGTTTTCGTCTTTTGAGATAAATACTTGTCATACAGCAAATAAACTTTTCATTTCCTGCATCGGGCCAAAGCGGAGGCTTACGCTGATCTTGCTTTTGATGGCGGCGAGCTTCTCTTGTGCAGCAGCCAGCTCAGCGTTGGCTTTGCTTAGGGCCTGCCGCTTGGGCTCCACCTCGCAGTAAACCTCGTAGAACTTGACAATATTCAGAACCCAGGAGCACAGACCCGCCGCGGCATAGGACTTGGAGGCCACCAGATCTGGCTGGAAGTCTGGATCCTAAAGAAAACAGATACAAGTCGAAACACATCTATTGTGGCATAGTCCCAATGCCAGTGGATTGATATATATCTTCAATGTTTCCCTTAAACTGTTGCATAAAGGAGTATAGTTTAAGATATAGTCGGTGTCTTTACAAAAACAAAAGACGGGTCTCTTAATTAAGATAGTTTGAGATGCTTTTGAAAAATCACAAAAGAGATCATTTCGTATCAACAGTCTAACAGAAAATTAAACTGTGTTGTGAATTGTGAGTTTATTTGCTGCACTGATGTACCTTCCATCCGCTCCATTGAACCTGATAATCAGGGCATCTGTTAAATTTGCAACACTTAATTTACAGACTGATTTTCTCGGGCTGCCGCTTGGATCCTCGACAGCATTAATGTGCCGCTGTCATTACCATCACGCCGCAGCCAGAGCGTTGATTTATGAGTCTGGTGGCAGCCATTCGCACCTCCCTCCATAACCGCAGAGCTCCGGCTGACAAAAACTCACCTGCAGGTAGGGCCGAATGGCTTTCAGGCAAGCCTCCGGGATGTTCTCCTTGTCGAAGTTTATCAGAGAGTCCAGGAAGGCGTCCACCTTGGCCATCGTGACTTTGGCGGCCTTCCAGCTGCGGTCCTTGGGGACTTTGCCGCCGGGGGCCATCAGGACCATCACCGCCGCCGTCACGTTGGTCACCGCCGCCACGGGAGAACCGAACGACTTCAGCTCGGTTAAGTTGTTCTGAGGTAGGGGACAGAAAGAGCGAGGGATGAAGGAGAAAAAGAAAGAGCTGTGATTTAATTGAGTTTGAACAGCTGCACATCTCTGTAGTTTTGTGGGGGTGAAAAGAGAAAAAAAAAATGGAAGGGATTAGAATAAAGAAAGAAGAACCTTTGCTGACTTTGAGAAGACAACAGAGAATGCTAATTAAGGCATCTTGAGAGAGCTCTAAGCAGTGATTGAACTGTCTGTTCTGCTTGTTTGAACAGAAAGCACCTTTTAAACACACAGGGTGTTTTTGAAAATCCCCCAGGCAACTCATAAAACTACATGGGATGAAGGAAAATGTCTGCGAAACATATGGGAGACATTATTGTATCAAAGACGTGGCTTAACCCTATGATTCAATATGTTTTTAAGCAGTTCAAACCCTGTGTGGGTAATATTTGTTACAGCCCTGAAGCCGTGCAAACAAAGCTAAATCAAACCATGACAAAAGAAAAAGGGCTTTGATTAAAAAGAACTGAACAGAGAAATAAATGAAGGTCTAAGGATTGGAATCGGAATGAGGCGGATCAATAAGCGCTGACTGAATGATTACTGACTTTATTGAGAGTGTTAAGGGCATCCTGAGCTGCGAGAAGAGCTGGTTCAGCCTTGGCTAAGTCCTCCTCACAGTCTCTCTGTTTGCCACTGACCACGACAGCAATGGCTGCCACCTTTTCTTCTTCCTCATCGGCCACAGCCTTCTCCTTTGACACTTTCTCAGTTTCTATCCCGACCTCCTGGAGAGAGGACAGAGGATTTATTTGAGGATTAATGGCACAGTTCAGCTGGTGACTTATTAAAGACAGCGTATGTTGACAGTAAATATCAGAGCGATCGCTTTAAACTGTTAAAGACAGTCTAAATTACATGTGACTTGACTTCACGTGGGTGTATAAATCAGCAATTGGCAGCTTAAGAAAACATTCTGAAGCCGAGCAAAGAATGCTCGACAAACTATTGCACAGTCTGCTAATGTTTACCCCTCAAGCCAATCTGACATCGATCTATAACAGGAGATAACAGAAGATGGAAAAAATCTGATGTTCAGGCTCTGCTTTCTCCGAACTCACGCTCTATGGGACACTTTCTGCACGCCACATTACAAATCTATCTGTGGATTATCCACTGTGAAGGGTACACAACCTCTTAAGGCTCCAATTTTCCTGTCGTTGAGCAGCACAGGAGCAAGAAAACACATTCATATAGTATTGAATATGCTCTTGCCTGAATCAACTTATCAGCATCTTCATTCTTCTGCTTGAGTTCCACTTCTTGAACAGCCAGTTTGGCCTTGAGGTCGTCCACCTAAAAACCCCAAAAAACAACAGAACACACAGTGTGATTTTTAATAGACAGACAGACAGACATCTATAGATAGATAGATAGATAGATAGATAGATAGATAGATAGATAGATAGATA